TGTGTCAGTAAATTGAAGAGGGAATTAGATTGCTATTTGGCAAAGAAATCGCTTGAGGTATAAGACAGTTCTATTTATGTGTAACAAGAATACTTGACTCTTTTTCAACGAAAGATCTATTGATAGGACTTTTACATGTTAATGGATACTTAGATTTAGTTCATTTTCTTCTCCAGAGCAAATAATGTGCCCTGTTCCTGGATTGCCTTATGACAGAGAAGAGGAAAATTCACAGGTCCCGTTCCTGGAAGATGTGACATGCTCATCGTCTTCTCAAGAGCTAAACATGTCCAGTAGTCACCTGGATACAACTTCAGAAATCGAATCTACAGAAAGGTATACATTTGTCCTACAGTCACTTAAATAATATTCCTTGCATTTGATACAGTGCCTTATCACATCTACGAGACGTCTCAAAGATCTTCACAGAATATACTGTAAAGTTGAGTCCCTGTATATTTAATATACTGTACATTTAAATAGCTGGTAATGTTTATTTTTATACAAGGACAAACAAAGCCAACTTGACAATACAGATAAAAGAAAATTTCCAATTTCTTTCCATCCCAATTTCATCCCACCCCATCTCCAAGTGGTATTCAGAACAGGGATTGAGTGAGATTTGAACTGTTTCAACTTTCATTTATACTGCAATTGCAGCAAAGCAATGACTTGCTGCTAAATAATGTCTGATACAAATTCAGCACAAAATGCCTGTAATTTGTGAGCACTATTTATTAATTTTTTAAAAAAAATAGTAAAACTCTCTTGTACTTGTTCTGTATTTCAGTGACATACAGGAAATGAGATACCTTCTGAGAAAACTTAGAGATTCAATGCCGCAACATCTTAGAATACAGGGTAAGTGTTAACTTCAGCTTTTGGGGGAATACCATAATAATCCTTGCACTTGATATAGCACCTCAACAGATCACTGAGATGTCTCAAAGCACTTCACAGAATATATCGCAAAGTGGATTGACTGTGTATTTTATGGTCGAAATGTGGCAGCCAATTGCTCACAGCAGTATCCTACAAATCAAATGATTCAAAAGGCATTCCAAAGAACTCGAAATGCAATTATCGCTGCTCATTGTTTTGCAGATGAGGACGATATACTGACCATATACCCCAAAATTCGGAAGAAGAGAAAGTGCGCATTGTGCTGCGTGAAGAAATGAAAAGAACGGCGTCTGTGTTCGCATTCCAGTCCACGGATTTCTCCCCGTAAACTCTTTGCACCTCAGAAATGGAATTGTGCTCTGGCCGTGGGGTGTTCACTTTTGATGAAGACATTTCTTTCGTCATGAAACCTTCTCTGAACCAAGAAGCCGTATTAGCAACTTTAAAAGTTGGGGCAGTGTTGAAAGATGACCCGCAATGCAGGATATGCATTTATTTTCAAACCTGTCTGTTTTGAGCAGACTGCCACGTTGGGCCAGCTATAAGAACGCTAATCAGTCTCAGGTCCCTGGGCTGGGTGGGGAGAATATGAACCAGTTACTCCTGTTTGCCACCAATTAACCCCAGAAAGTGGGTCTGGGCAGATGCTTAAGAGATATCCTAGCCTGCTGACATACACACACACACACACACACAGTTTGTGCTCAGATAACAAGACATTTGAGTGAGATATCAGCAGTCAGATAGCAACCATAGAATTGTACCGGTCGATGAATCCATCTTCAGAAGAGATTTTTATTTTAAAAAATTGCTATCTGTCATATAAGATAGCAGTACACAATTGGGCACTCAATGATACAGTTGTTAAAACATTAGCTAGCGTACCTCTGTTTAACACCGTGTTGGATATCTAGCTTACTGCTGTTTAATGCTGTGTTAGATGGGTTTTGTGTATGTAGTGTCACACTGAACTGTAAAGTAACTATTTTTCTTGTCGAGTGAAGACTAGATTTATTTATTTTGAAGATTTTAGCAACTTCACTACAAACTTTAGAGCAGCATCACAGTGGTCAAAGTCTAGTCTGTAGAAATATGCTTTAGGATAGCTATAGAGCAAAATGCAAAAAAAATAAACTGGATGTCTCAATAATTTCCAAAGTGATCTCTGTTATTGCTGTGGGAACTTTAAACTCTCCAAGTTAACGTACCAAGGGCAGTAAAGGCTTGGTTTAGTAAAATCGTGAATGCTAGAGCAGAAACAAAAATGTAATTTAGGCACTAAACAGCTCATCATATTGTGCTGTAGCCAGTCACTGTCTAGTTTTGCACATATGGATTGTCCATTTTATTCACATGCCTAGAAGTCTGCTAGTACCAAGTGCACTGTTCTAGACAAACCGTTCCTTCAGGAGAGAAAATTGAGGGCAGTGGAAAGAAGAGTAGGCCAACAATGATGGTCTCATCCTGGAGAGTAAGGTTAACACTTCAAAAAGGCTCTGAGTCAGACAAAATTGTTCTCTTCCCTTCATGTGCAATTTCCTTTTTTGGTGCTTTTATAACTGGAATGAAACATGCTCTAATGCGGGTAAACAAAACATTCCTCTTGCCATTAAGTCTTTCAAAAATAAACAAAAAAAGTTTCCGGATTCCAGGAGAGAATACACATACAAAAAGGTAGATTTCACATAGTTGTTTCCTCCAATTGAGTAAAATATCTGCAGAAAATCTACAGAATCCATATCTAGCCGCTCCAGGCTTGAAACGGGGAAAAAAAAATCTCAAAATTTTTGCTGCACCACGTGTGGGGAAACTCCTGCCAATGAACTCCCCCGCTTCATCTTGCTTGCTGGCATTCAGCAGTCAAGGACAGCCAGACTCAGTTACGAATCCCACAAGCAAAAGATGCTTATTAACTATCTTCTGCTCATGGTATTCGAACAATTACAATGTCAGTAAATGCTGGTACCGGCACTGCAATTACACTTAGCCAGAAATTCAAGCTCGCCGGACTTGATCTCTCCCCCCCCACCTGCCAGGGTTTTAGTAATTGGATTTTGGAAAAAAAATACTCAATGAGTTTCTCAGATTTGCTTGCAATTACAACAGTTGGAATTGGCTGATTACTTTATTTTTTGTTAAATAACAGACGTTCAAGATACAATGCTATCAAGTTATTTACAACAAACATGTTATTTACAAGAGAAAAAGGAGAGCAAAATACACAATATGCTATAGAATTGTGTTCATCCATTACCATTCTGCTAATGCATCAACTTTGGACTGCATACAGTAAAACTACTTCAGCTTCTGTCAAAAAATATCTGTATGCACAACAAATTTATATAAATACAAATTGAGAACCAATGTAGTTTGGTTAATCGGACAGATTTGAGCACCTCTTTTTGTTTTTGAGCGTCAGCTGAGGATTGTATTAAGGAATTACACAATGCAAGGAAAACACATTTCATAATAATCTTCAGAATTAGTTTATAGAAGGGAATTTTTTCTAATATTTACATAGTGCAAAGTATGCAGTTTTCTAGAATTACTCCATTATGTACATTACAAAGCAAATATGCCATTCAAGCACAAGACATCACACCCTTCATGTAAAAGCTGAATCACTTTGTGTTAACTGAATTTTCCCCATTTCCACTCAAAACAGATTTCAAAACAAGAAATGAAGATACCAATTGTATTGATATTGCAATTAATAGTTCACTGCATGTTAATCTTTCCTGACCCTTAAGCGAAGATCCAGTGAGGACAAGCAAAACAGCTTTCCAGGACTTGTTAGGTAAGTGTGGTTACATCCATGAAGGAATTATTGTGAACATTTAATTTTTTCACCAGTCTCTGCTGAGCAGAGCACCAAACATTAATAACATTTAATAAATCCTGTACTGGGTAGAATGGGCATTGCTGCAGAAACGGGACAAAATGATCTCCCAATCCTTGGTTTTCCAAGTCTAGGCCATCAATCAATGCACAAACAGTGTGAATCTAGGGAAGAACACCATTTTATTCATACTAGCATTAGTACTGTATAAAACTGTGGTCAAGAATGAACTTGGTCTCTATTTTGTTACTAAGCTTTCTTAATCACTAGTCGATGGAATATACTTCCTCCCTTTTCAACATTAGTACAACGCAGAAGTGCTCAAATTATCTGTTTAGATTAGAAAGGTGTAAAATGTTACAGAACACCCTTTGCAAAGCGGTTTTGTATTTTAGTTTCTCCCATCAACAGAAATTAAATACTGAAAGATTGTTCAAAAGCTTTTCTCCCCCCCACAATTTTGTACATCAATATTTCTAGGTCATGTATAAATTTACAAATACAATTAACATTAGAAAAAAAGCAAAATGACACTGGAAACTTCCTCTACAAATATTAAAAATATTTCTCAGGTTTCAACAGCACCAGATGTTGCTATAGATCAAGTTCTACCCCACCTACTGGTGCAACCAGATATACACCTAACACAGTAATGCATTCCCACAGAGCAAGAGCACACCATCTGTACAAGATTCTCTACACCAGTAATTCTCATCTATCATTTCCATAAAGCAACAAGGTTTTTTTTTCCTCCCACTGTGTAAATCCTTTCTTCTTCAAAGCGAGTGGCTGGAATATATACCTAACAAGAATTCTTCATGTCAGTTTAAACTGCTCCCATAATAAGCCAATGCAAAAGCGAGCTTAGACATGCAACTTTTATTGGCTTTGCCAGTTTTCCATTGGACCTCAATTTGATGCAACTAGTAATGACAGCTATATAGATATGCTGCTCAAGTGTTCCTTCCAGTGAACAAGATGTGCTTTCTAACACCGCAGGGGTAAGCGTACATCAGATAAGGCGGCTGCAATTTACCACGAATTTGGAAAATCTGCAAGCATACATTGATTTTAAACTCATCCCTGAAGGTTAATACTGCCAACAATACACACACTCAGAACTTCTTCACACCCAGTATTGTAACTAGCACATTTCCATTTTACTTGCCAAATATCCAAGGAGAGCTGGAGATCTGATTCCAATGACTGGAAGAGAACAATAGAAGCAGGCTATGGCCATTTTATACATATTTAGTTTCTGGTGGGGTTATGCAGAGCTGCAGCTAAATAACATGCCCATCAAATCTGACAATTCCCCCAAACACCACACACACACCAAAAAAAAAGTATTTTAGTTCAACTGGAGCTAGACAAACCATCTTTCATTTGGAATCCAAGACAATACGTACAAATTTCCTGGGACCAGGCTAATTAGTACTCTCAAAAGCTTAAAGCTACCATGTTTGTCTAATTAACACTACAAGTATGTCTAGGTTGATGTATGTGCGCGAAAGAGAGAGAGAGAGATCAAAAGGCGAAAGTTTCTCAAAATACTGTCTGCATAATTATGAAATGCAACAAAGTATGAAAGAACCATAGCCTGATAAATTACATTAACCCTAACATTTCCATTCCTGTCTGTAAAACTGCGCTACATATACCCAAAGACAGTATTGCCCCCCATTTAGGAGAATGTTTACTTGCTGATCTCAGTTAAATGATATTGCTATTTTTTCTAGCCCCATCTCATGTTCACATCAGGACACACTTGCTTATTTAATGGTAATTATACACATCGTTTGAGGATAAAGCCCAAAATTGATAATAACAAAGAGAAAAATACATAACATTTCAAAGACTTTTCAAATGGTCTAGTCATATCCATAGTTCCTGATAAGTAAATACTTCAGTAATGTCCAAAATGTTTACATCAGATTTCAATTACATTCCTTACATAGCTGAGCAATGGTACAGTTGATTCGATCATACATGAAGTCTACTTATATGCATCTTTTTCTGTCCCAACCTATTTCATGTAACTGAATGCCGCTGGATTTTAAAATGAAGTTTGAACAGGGAATAGATGCCCTAAACTATCAGTAGCTTAAAGCCTTTGTTGCAGCTTAAATTTCATAAAGGCAGAGCTTCTTAAACCATTCAGCGTAAATTTTGCTACAAAATACCACATTCTTGTAAAAAACTGATGGCTGTTTTTCCATCAACATTTATATTTTCTTCAAAGATTCATAAAGGATTTACAGGAACCATCTAGAAAAAAAAACATGAGAATTCACAAATACACCAAGAAACCTGGGTCAATAAGAGATTTTGAGATGACAAGACTTGCTAACATCCAATTATACAAGTTCCCCCCAAAACTAAGAATTTAGATCACAAATCAGTGAAAAATTGAGATGAGGTGATCTATAAACAGCAGACTTAAGTTTCCTATACGTCAAGCATTCCTGAGGTCACTGATGTAATTTTTACATTTTAATTTTGTTTAGGTAGACTCAAATGGATGCAAAATTATTTTGTAGTCAACTGATCAATACTTTTACATTTTGATAGCTGGCAGTAAAACTACCATTTGAGGTTTCACCCGAATCCCTTGTTCTTTACAAAGAAAATGTGCAAAATAGTTTTTTTTGAACAAATCAATGGAAATGTCAGTAGAACAATACGTTAGCAACAACACTTTCAAAGACAAATCCAAACAGACTACAAGGTGGAAATATTAGAGTCAAAGGATAAGTTCCCAATGACACTAAAATTAATTGACACTTGTAGCTATGACTGAAATCCTTGTTGTTTTAAAAAAAATCTACCCCAAAAAAGTATCCAGGTAATTTATCTGTTTTAAATAGAATATAATTTTACACAAGTTTGATGATGCTTATAACAATTTGGATGTGGTCTGTTTCACTAACAAATAACTTTTTTTTTTGCTAATTCCATGAGTCTACCTAAACCTAAATTGTGCTCTGTGTGAGCGATGCTGGTCTGTCACTACAAACAGGTTTGACTCTCAGACTCTGCACAATGGGAATCTTCACTCTCTGCCGTCAGATCGATCTGTTCAACTGTATCCAGCTCTTCGGTGTCGCTTTGCTCATCGCAGTCTTCTTCTGTGCTGTCAATATTTTTGCTAAGCTGCAGCGTCTCCAGTGTTTTCTGGGCCTCCGATACCCAATCGTCAACTCTGCTGCTGAAGGTTCCCGCTATGGACACGGGCTCGTGGACATAATCTTCCTCTTCATCATCCTCGTCATCATCATCCTCCTCTTCCTCCTCCTCCTCCTCAAGCATGTCGGGTACGAGAGTGCTGGTGGTGCTGGTCATGGAGGAATTGAGAACGTCCCTGCAGCTGCCATCAAGTGATCCCGTCTCGGTGCTCTGTTGGGAGGCCCACTCCAAAATATCATCGGTTTTTCCTTCTTCCTTGTCTGAACCAGACGATTTTGTGGCAAGGGTTCCCTGAACCACTGCAGAGCTAGTGGTAACTCCCAGAGTGTGTTTGTTGCAACTGGTATGAACAGTTGGTAAACTATTACACTTCTCTGCAACAGGAGTCCCACTTGATGTTTTCTCGCTCACACAACACTCAAGGGTATCGGTTGCTTCTACCATATTTCGCCAATTTGTTTCTATTAAATAAAGACATTTACAATGTTAAATTATTACATAATAAAGCTGAAAATAATGAACTTATTCACTAAGTAAGAGCAGCAACACTACAATTCGGGTCAATATTCCCAGTAGTTCAACACAGCACCTAGCTTCTGTAAATGTCAGGAACATTTACATTTCTATTCTGTAAACCTTAAATACTTAATGAATTAGTCATAACGACCAGTACAGATTTTACAATTACATTACGTGTGCTACTCAGTACCTTTGAGCTATATATCCATTCAGAAAAGTGAGGTATACAGTATAATAAAATTGGTTCCCAAATATGTATTTTTTGTTAACTCTAAAAATCTCACACACAATAATAGAACTAGTAATTGCCAATCTAATAACCTGCACCAGCATCTTATATGATCAATTGTTTTTTTAAACAAAAAAACAAAACAATATTTTGATGGAATTCCTACTTTTAGCATTCAGTTTTACCGGTGAACAACAAAATCCATTACTAATGGAAAACATTACTTGGAAGCGCAATATTTTATTAAGTACAATTCTTAAATAACAAAGGATGATTTGAAAATTGTTTTCTTACCGTATTCCTTTTCATTCACTTCAGAAATCGGCTCCGATATCACACTACAGAATGAAATGGCACTGGCTGCAGAAGGGTTCCGTGAGTGGCCCATGTGCGGTACCTTCCGGGTGTGCTTCAAGGCCTCTTCAGCTTGTTCCTGTTCCAACGCTGTCACCATGTCACGGTATGCTTTACGGGCTTCCTCCGTCAATGATACTAACTTATTAAACAGATTCTGTAACGATGGAAACGGTTAAACATACATTAGTATATTGTGTTCTCGATGGAGGTTTTTAAACTTAATACCTAGACTTACTGGTTTAATAATAATTCTTGTGTTTATCTCATAGTTGCGATGTCTCAAACCACTTCACACAGTGCACTGCAAAGTGTATATTTTGTGGGCTTTAGAATAGATTCCAACCCTTATAGCACATCAAATATAGATTTAGTTGAGAAAGCCTTGGGATGGAAGGAAGAAAAAACAAATTCATATCAGACAGGCATGGGAACCTCTACCACCATTCAGTTTGTGAGCAGTTTGCTTCATTTGGAGAAGATTTGCTTTTTGCTCGGTTTGAACACTTCTGCAGTTTTGCAGCATTGCATTTCAGTGCCTTGGGACAACCTCCCGAGCTGAAAGGTGCTATACAAATGTAATTTGGTTGTTGTAGATGAATGTGAAATAACTATTCTATTTAAATCTATTTACTTACAATCCTTTCAACAGATTCAGAGGAAAATGTATTAACTACATATTAACAAAAAAAATTCAATGGTCAATTCACCAGTTACGCAAGTCTATTTTACATTAGGTTAAGCAACATTTTATTTTTAAACCATCCCAAAATAGCTGCCACACCTGCATGGTCACAAGTTGTTTTTGAAAGATTACAAACAATTATTTTGCTTTGGTAGGGTTACATCTTTGTATAAATTATAAAATGGGTGAAGAGAATTGAAATTGTAGACATTAAAAAGTTAATTGGCCATTAACCTTTCATATCAAAAGTATAAAGCCTTTGAACTATGGTGACATTTAAGAAATGGCTAAATATTGATTTTGCTACACTATTGCAGCCGGCAAGCAGGTGACTGTGTGCACATGGGAACAGAGGATTAGTTGGCTCTCAGGCCCCAATAATCATAGAAGCAAACAAAAATCCAAACGTACTTCAGCATCACTGTAGTTGAAGATCCCGACAACGCTGACAGGAACAAGTTTATTCACACACCGGCCAAGAGCTTTACGGCCCAGCGCGAAGACAAAAGGGATTTCCTGCTCTCGGGCCATAGCAATCACATTGTACAAAGCTTCGTCAAGTCCACCTGAAGGAAGAGGGAAATGAAAACAGATTAGAATGAAAGCTAACCATTTCACATCTCCAAAAATGTTTCACAGTGAACCAATGGATTAGTACCTTTTGACTGAATTTTTTCACAGTTTGGAGAGATGATTACACATTTGATCTTCCTCAATTTCATATGTTTGGTCACCTCGCGCAGACCCATGACAAGTCTTCTCTTCATTTTGGCTTTGATGGGATCTTTCTGGTAAACGCGCTCTTGGAAGCGAACAAGTTCTTGTAATAGCAACGTCACACATTCATCAATGTCTTTACTGAGAACCTGATTACAATACCTGGACAACAAAAACAATCAGAAATATTTGAGATTCTTATTAAATGTTAAAGCATCAGTAATATTATTAAAAAAAAACAGATATACATTTACATCTAAGAAGAAATGCTCTATTGACTTAGAACTCTTGATCCTCCAAAGTTAAAACTGAACGAATATTTCAACATTACAATTAAGTCTATGAATCTGTGTTGTGCGCAAGTTCATGCTTTAATGATCATCCATATCTATTCTTAAACACTCCCTGTCAATTTTTTTTTAATTAAGACAATTTTATTTTCTATTAACCAAATGTACAAAAGTTTAACATTTAATAGATGTCATTTGACCCTGTTAATTAACCTTTGTAGTCAAGTTGTGTAAGAGTATTCTCAGTGAAACTCAGTTTACCAGTCTCTGACTGTTAGTGATGTGGCCGGTGTCAGGAAAATAACAGAAAATAGCCAGTTCTCTTCTACCACTTTGCACTTATAGTAAGCATAGATTCAACTGTGGCATGCAACAAATCCAGAAAGAGCAGTATTTCCAGCTTATGCGGACTGGCTCAGTCTGTATAGAATTTACCAAACATAGCTGGGCTTAGTGGTACTTTACTCAGCCCATGGCATTGTCTTTCATGCAACCAAGATAAAGGTCAATAGTGTGCAAACACAAGGTTACAGAATAGAAATAACAGTCAGTTGTCAATGTCACCAGCTTGCGTTGATTCTGAGTTTCAGGAGTTGTAGTTTAGTTAGGCGTGTAATTTCTAAAAACAAATTTAAAATAGTCAAGTGGCATCTCACTATTAACTGAATCACCCATCAGTAATTTCAAAACCATTTTCTACTTATACAGATATAAATGCTACTATATTATTTGTTATGAATTAAATTGTTTCAGAAAGCCAGAATTAACCTAAATTCTATTACAATGCTTCACTCACCATGCATATAGTGCACCACAACCACGTTAGTCCTTACACTCAAGTAAACATTTATTATTATTACTATACAAGGATTATTATGATGTAACTTCATCCTCTTTTACATTATTGTTGCTACTTTACGTTTTAAAATTGGCAAAAGGCCTCCACTATATCAAACTATTAGTTCTACACAGAAAGCTGCAAATGAATTCCCCCCCCCCCCCCCCACACACAGAGCTTTTACAAACTCTCAAGGAAGCTTACTCTCTGAAGCGTCTGCTATGGATTTTTGTGATGGTTGAGGAAGCCATAGGACTGCCAACTCCTGAGCTAACGGGAGATCCTTGTGAAACTGGCGTCATACTGTAGGGGGAATTCTGACTTGCAGGAGATATAGATGCATCACTGGGCACGCTCAAACCATTATCTGAAAATATAAGAAGAGGTAACTCAATCACGCACTTTGCCCTGATTTGCAAGATTCATCCATCACTTTGCTCTCCGTTATGTTAGGACAAAGCTAGTGCATCAACAAACAAAATCTCTTTTCATGCATAATTAATTACAAAGAGTTCATTTAAGAAGCATGCACATTGCTTTTCCTCCATGACATTTGTGGACTGCATGGGCCAGTTATAACATGATAAAGCAGCCCCCAAATTGTGTAATAAACTCCTGTCCTCACCTTCCTGAGAAACCCCTTCTTGGCTTATAGTCTGCTCCTCTGGAAAATGTAGTTGTACATCGCCCTGATCCTCTGAACCGACAACTGCTGGCTCAAGTGAAAACCTATTTTTCTTTTCTTCTCTTTCCTTAAGAATTATCTGTATACAGAAGAAAAAAGTTACCATAATACAATAATCGGGATAGTCACAGTAGTAGCTTGGATGGATTTTCCATCTCAGAATATTTCAATACCATACAAACGGGTGTTTGTTTTGCTCAGGAACCATGGATTCCATGTGAACCACAAATCAACAGCTTTTCAACATCTTGAAATCTTGAAGCCTTAGTTGTCAAGGCTAGACAACTAAAAAAAGGTATGTTCCTAATGATGATTACATTTTTCTCTACAACTCACGTTCCCTGGATAGAACACTTTGTTGTTAGAGTAGAACTCTGATATAAGGGAGTGATTTAGGTGGGAATCTGATGACCTGGATGTTTATAAAATGTTGGCCATTTTATGAAGTGAGAAGCCGGATGTTTTTCTGCACGAATGAACAGTGGATGGGGAAGTATGGAGCGCACTTCATTAAATGGGTTGGGATTCTGACAGGCACATAGTATCGCTCAAAACTCTTCACCTTTTTAAGTGCAGTGGGACGTTTTGCTTTTGGAATCTCCTTCTCCTTGCCTCGCTTCACCCTCGGGGCAGTGGAGTCCAAGGGATTATGGGGGAATCCAATGAACTGCTGAGATTTCTGGAATGTTTTCAGATTCCCGGAGTCTTTCATGGAATACGGACCTGGTGTACCAACTGCAAAAAGAAATAGTCAGCAAGGAAATTTATCAGTACGGTTTTTCAAGTCTTTAAAAAAATTAATTAGTCAACTACAGTGAGACGACACAACCATAACTGGTATTGAATTCAGAAAATGTTAGCAGTCTTTTCTAGTTGGTGTTAAAGGTCGAGGCACGTTGACAGAGCTGCATCTGGTTGTACTAAACCAGATTAAGGTACACTTGATGCTGACAGTGACCATCAAGAATAAAGTGTTTTATCCCCATACACTGACATCCTCACAATGAACACCAGAAATTCATCAAAGCAGTTAATGCAGTTTTGTGAAAGATATTTGCACTTTACTCCTGTAGAGAACAAGATCTTGAAAATGCTTCAGACTCTAATGGTTTTCAACAGGATACAATTCAAAAATAATTACACTAATGTAATGGCTCAGTATTAAATAGCTGTTCTTAACCTACAATAAAACCCCATGTGGGCAGGTTCAATGGGTCAACAATCTTGTCAACCATTACAGCTATTTTTTGCAATGAAGGGACTGTAAAAGATGTGCCAATTATGGTATTAAAACAGTACACATTTATACCAGTTTTTTTTGAGAAAGCTAAATAAAATCTGGGCAATTACTGCTGAGGATTAGACTTTTTCCTCCTATCCCTTATATAAAGGTCTGAATATAAACACTAAATTTGCATAGCACCTTTCAAGTTGTGAAGGACGTCCCAAGACGCTGGAAGGTAAATGAATGCCACTGAATCATGAGTTGCATGGAAATGCACAATGTTAGGAAATTAACCTTGCTCACAGTCCCCTTGAAGCTGGGTTTGAGCAGAAAGCTGACAGGCAATTAACAGTACATCGAACACAGAGCCCTTCCCCCCAACCACGTGGGAGTTGGGCAGGAAGCAGGAAAGCTAAAGAGAGGAGTCAGTTAAATACTGAATGAGAAGGTTAATATTAACGCAACTTCAACTATGAAATGCTGAAGACTAAGATAATAACACTGAGGCAACAAATTGAAAAAGTGCCAAGTACAGTAGATGAGCTTACTGCAATATGACAGGGGTTTTGTGTTGGTCAGCTGTTTTGCTTTCATTGCTTGTTGCTGTTTCTCTAATGCTGCTAACATGTCGCCCAGATCCAGCTGTACAGGGGCTTTGCTTTTCCTCCCCGCTGCCTTACTTAGAGCCTCCTAAAGAAAGTGCAAAACAAACATTGAGCGAGAGTTCAAAGGGCAACAGCCATTTAATTTATTTTTGGCTGAAGGTTGATTTATGGGTCCTTCATTAATTACATTAGCATATGGCATGTAATTTACCAGGGTGAAACAGAGCAAGTTTATTTAGTACCTCATAAACAGAAGATATTTAAAAATTCTCTTCTATGGAGAGGAATAAACACAAAACAATCCTACCCTCTTCATTGTGTGTCCCGAGTACATTAAAATTTACTTGTTGATACTGTATTAAAACTAAAAAAAACTGCAGAAAATTGCAATAATACATAATTATTTATTAAGTGCAAACTTTAGCAGTAAAAATGCAGACGATTTTTTAAAAACAGCAGTGATGATTTTACTAAGAAACTATACCTGGAGTTTCTTCTGCTCCATGCTGATCTCAGAATACTCCTGGGCGGTAGCAAGCGCTGCAGCCAGCGCTTTTTTCCTCTGACTTTTAGCACGTTTTGGAATAGCTGTGGTTATGGGAATAGGTGTTTGCACTATGCTGATAGGAGACGTTGCTGGAAGATCTCCCAGCTGCAGCAAGGCAAAGATAAATTAATTCACACTGAATCTAAACAGGCATTAGTTATTTTGCAAAACAGTATTTTTAAAAAATAAGTCAGCAGTTTGAATTATCTAAGTTTCATTTACGAAGGATACATTGAGTGCCAACAGTATATGGCTGGCATGCAGAAGAGTTATACTTAGCCCAACATGGCTACAGAAGGATTCCTGTTGCAATGTTTAGTTTAAATACACACACACAACTCCATTTCAGTTTCACTGAACACTCACCCCAAGTTGTTTCTTAGCGAGTTGACAAATGGAAGAATTCTTTATTCTGAGCATTATCGTGGCCTACAGCTTTACTCTTAGATGCCCCGGCTCCAATAATCAATTCCGGAAACTCTCTGTCATCCTGTACAGAAAAGATTCATAAATTGTAGAAAGTGTAGTGTGCGATTTCTTTTTAACTACGCAATCGAGTATAGCTTGGGGAACTAAATCACAGTAATCCACTTCTCTTTATATGTAGCTTTCAAAATCAACTGCAACCACAACAGAAGCGGCTTCTATTTAACATACACAACACACATACTGACAGAGAGTAAATATGGATGTACTGAACAGGTTAAAAGATGTGGGGTTAATTAATTAATTTACCCTGGTTCAGTTCAAAACGATAAAAGCCATCTAAAGTAGCATAGTCTAACCTGTGTATACCGCTGCTCTGTTGGTCTGCCACCTCGACTACAGGAAAATGTCTGGATATTGTCCATCCCAATTCTCTGAGGTGCCTGGGAAGCTACATTTACCCAATTTGAGCCTCCTGAGAAAGAAATCATTTGCTTTCTCAAAATACCCGTAAAAGAAAATCAATTCTGTGTTAACAATCAGAATGAATAATGAGGCCGAACGGACACCTGAAATCTATTAGCTTAAAAAATGTGCAGAACCACCCGATACAAATTTTATTCACAAATCTACTCAATTATACAACTTTTTGTTAAAACAGAAAATACTAGGCTACAAACATGGATGTATTCACTTATATCAAATAGATGAGAACATTTAGCCTTAATTTTATATGCCAAACACAAAACTCTCAACTACAATGAGATAATCCTTAGGTTTGATTTCCAAAAGCTGCAAGGATTTCTCATCTTATTGTAAATGGAGCCGCTGTTCTAAAAATTACCTGTTATCCCGGTTAAATCTTCCACCTGAAAGAGAAAGCAACAGCATTATAAATAAACTGCATTTTGGTATTCACTACCAGTAATGAGATTATTTTAAAACGTCCTTAACTGGTAATTAGCACACTGAATACTTATTCCACAAAGAAGGGAAGAGGAGACATTTGTATTTTTAATGTTGTATGTTTTATGGAGACAAGTAAAATGTCATTGTATTGTTGCGAGTGGAACCAAATTAATCTAATTTTCTTCAGACAATTAAACCCATAAAGATCTACACCAACGATCTATTTTGTGACTGAATGAAAGCACCTCATCAGAAACCAGTAGTACACTACCATTTTGCGGAGGTTTGTAGTCGCTGGCTATGGAATTTAAACTCAGAATCAATGCTGAGTTTCCTGATTAAGAAAATCTTTCTAGATTTAAGGGGGTTGTTTTCCAATAAAATCAATATGCATCCACTTTTCCTTGTACATATTTCCCTTACATTTTATAGATCTCTTTATAAATGCAGCTAATGGGTCATTCTGAGGGTATACATCAAAGAGCAACTGTGCCAAGGTGCATTAGAATGGGATTCCAATAACTAGATCTTTAGAGCAGTTCATGCTGTAAAGGGAAAAAGCTGAACTAATCCTTAACAGGCATTTTCTATTCTGGTACATTAATAACTGAACACATATACATACTTTATTGGATTCTGTACTCCTTGTGGTAGCAAGTACGGCCTGACTGTGACTGTGCTTGGGACTGCAATAGCCACTATCACTGTCAATATCAGCTTCGCTCGCTCCTTGCTCACTTGAAGACTCTGCTGCTGGGTGAGAAGCCCTTCTCCTCCTGATTTTTGACTTCCACAGCAATGGGCTGACCCGGTCCGAAAGAGATTTGTTAGCCACATCTCCAGGAAAGTCTTTTTTAAAAATAAAGGAAAATAAAAATCACATTGACATAGTCCTGTATTTACACATGGTATTCAGAACAAAACTTTGAAATAGTCAGCTTGCTCAACGACCTCAAAGGGACAGCCCAGTCAGCACTTAAGATATACAGACCAGAACATTGAATGGATCCTACAAACAGCCTCGTTGATCCTGGGGTAGGGAAGGAAGAATGACTCGCCATTGTTTCCACTTGTAATCACTATCCAATGAGATCCGATGGAAAGTGTACGTGTGGTCACTGATCGAGTGCAGGATCGGGCTTAGCTATAATGTCCCAAATGGTTCAGCAATCTACCAACATCCATGGTATAGGCTCAGACATGAGGAGAGGCTAGCTGAGTAATGAACTGGGCAGCCGTGGAATCATACGCTGGCCTAAATCAATGCTTTCAGAATTTGTGCTTCATTCATCACATTTTATAATATATAAAAACAGAACTCAAAAGATTTAATACAGATTTTAAATGAAATTCAGATGAATATTGCTGGGCAATAGCTCACCGGTTTGCTGGCTGGCATCCACTAGCAACACAATCTTTGATCTATTTTCAGGACCTGAGGCACTGCTTTCCTTCTGAATAGCTACACTTCGCACAGGAGGCCTGGCGGCTCTCACAAGCTGTACAAAAATAAAAAAAATGCAACTTAAATGTAACCTCGTTAAGCATTCTGAGTTGAGCGTTCTGAGACTTCGCCCCAGGTGAAGGCGTTATATAAATGCAAATTGTAGATGTAATCTTTAGCCCACCCCTTTCAAATTACCCTCCTGGCCTACATACATGGTCAGACCTTTTGTCGTCACTATTCCTTGATTAACCCACAAGAAGGCACTTGTGATGACCGAAGAAGGTAACTCCTGGTTTCTTCTGTCAGACGTGACGCTTTTATGTTTTAAAAATTTGGGTGTGATAACAGCAATTGTTAAACCGTTGAAATTTTCCAGATGGAAGTCGCAAAAAACGAACAGAACTGCAAACGCTTACCTTCTGCACTGAGCCCCGGTTCACTCGGCTTCTCTGAGCTGGAACTTGGCAGACTTGTCCTGCAGGAACTGGTCTTTCGTTGCACTCAGACACCGGAGGTACCATGCCACCTGGCTGGAACGGTGTAGCGTATGGTGCAGGAAAGGGAGAATAGAAGCCCATCATTGGGGTACATGGCGTTGGCATGAACTGGTAGTAAGCATACTCGGTAGACACAGGAGGCTGCGGGGTTGGCAAGATGGGATAGGCAAGATAAGGGCCTCCTGCTAAATTTGTATTTGCCTGCTGCCACCGAATATCATTGTTGTATATGGGCAGTTGCCTGTAATAAGATACAAAAAGATAATCAATATGTACATTATAATGGTGTATCATCTACCATGCTTATGCAACCTCCTCCCTGCTCAGCGTCAGGTTCCGCTTCAAAATGTTGGTATTTTACCAAACGTTCTTACACAAATAAACCCAAAGCGCTTCTTTACTCACCTACTACCTTGATTTTCTTGTACAAAAGGATAACAAGTTATCAAGTAGCTAGGGATGGGAGGAACATCAACACCACTGCTACCACTTCCATCATTAGGGAGAGCCATTGGGACAAGCGTCTCAGAACCCTTCTTCTGCGGTATAAATGGCTCTACTTCTGCTGAAAGCTGGATGTCCTAGTTAAAAGAGGGGGGTGGGGAAATAAAAATCACTCTTAAAATAACTAAGTTTCCAATATTAAATTAGACATCTCATAAAATAGGTACAGTCACAGATTCAAGCTTGATAAAACACCTAATCTCAAATTAAAAACCATATTTGCATTCCACCTGATGAGGCTACTATGTCCTTTCAAGATTTCTGCAGATTTAGTTAAATAATAATCACTATTCAAAAGAAAAAGCAATCAGCTTTAGCAACAAACGGAATGGAAGGGATCATAAAAATGGCTTTGTGGTGCGATTAACACTTCCGCAAGTCGAATGGATATACCACCCTGGAGTTGAAGTGAGTGATGATTGAGTGAAAGTAAAGTACAGGTCATACCAGATCCTTCAAAGCATTTAGTATACAAAGTTTGAAATGTTTGCAAAAATTAAGTGTTTCTTTGGCAAAAAAAACTTCTTACCGATCAGTTCACATATTATGCAATCGCCTAAACTTTGTCAAAAAGAATGAACATACTAGCAAATCATGTAACGGATGGTCAATTCATTAAATTGTTAAATACTTTTAAATATTCTGTATAGGAATTTAGTGATTTGAAAGGGAAATAAGAGCCAAGCATGATGGTTATGCTGATTATCAAAAGCAAATCACTTTTAATAATCCAATAAAACTCAAGAAGTGCGTTTGCCTACAAAATGTAGTTATTACTGGAAATCCTGTGAAGCGCTTTGAGACGTTCTCCTGAGGTGGAGGGCACTATATCAAAAGCAAGGATATTATTTAATATAAGTACAAAATGACTGCTTGTTTGGGGAATGTATATTTACACCAACAATTCAGCAGAGTGAGGAGGAAGGAGAAAGAAAGAATGCATTCAGCTTCTATAACCCTTTAGTTATTTTAACAGCCAGGTGTAGTCAGGTCGGTGCTAGTAGAACTCAGCTTTATCTCCCCAGTTAAATTGAACTTTCATTACTATAATTCTCTAATTTCTCTAACCTTGTATACAGTCATCATTTCCTGACTAATAGCACAGAAGGAAAGATCAGCAGAAAGAACAGAAAGAGAGTCTGTGGAACACTAAGTCTTCCTTTCTTTACCTGTAATACTCATAAAACAATCCTTCCTGCTTGCTATAATCAAGTTGGCTAATTGACTATAAATTAGGATGTGATGGCACACTGGATAACTAGATTCTGTGTGAAAAAAAAGTAATAATTAGCATTTTTCTAATACTGATGTTTTTCACTTTTACAAAGTAATCTGCCATTTTTAAGTTGCTAAAGCATGTTCTTAGTTTTCAAAGACAACTTCTCAATACAACTGTATAGTCAAAGAACAGACAGGGCAGTCAGTTTTAGTGACATCAACGTTTATTAGTGGAGCAGTGGGGCATGGGCACTGTTTTGCTGAGTATAGGGCAGCTGCTGAGCTAGCATTATAGCTTGATGTAGCTGTATTGCCAATTCCCACCAGACAGTGTAAACTCATTCTTAAGTCTCTAAAAATCAGTTCAGTCATACAGATTGCACAAAAAATAATTTACCAAACAAACATGATCTATGAAAACCACAATATGACATGATCTTTGTCCAAAAACTTCTAACAAGCTCTACCAACCACCTCCCCCCCACACCACCGTGTGGAAATGAAACATCGACTGATCTCAAACTTTGTCAGGAGGTATCAATAGTTCAGAGGGAAAACACATGGAGGCTGGGATATAGTGCCTTCTGAGGTTGCCATAAATAACACTCACTTGTTTTAAAATTTTCTACCACCCTCAAAGTATGCAATGAATGCTCTATGGCAAGCCACTGAATGCAACATTTATTCCCACACTAAATACTGTAGGACTTAAACTCCCTTGTTAGGAGATGTGCAACCGACCCACGGAATAAGTTCTGTATACTGTACAACAGCTTGCCGGTCAACTTCTTTACACAGAAATTTAAGATTACAAACATCGAGGTCATTTATTTGTAATAAATTCAATCCAAACTAAACGTTTGGGTTTAGGTTCAGCTGCTCATGGGAGGCACAGCTGCTGTTGTATTCTATTTGACTCAATACGAATATTCTAATTGGTTATTTCATAAAACTAAGTGAAGTCTCGAGACTTCTGCTAAATTTGTAACTAGATACAATGCAATTAACATTTTCCAATGACTCTAGAGTAAAATCAGACAAACCTCGACTACAATGCCCATTTCAGCCTGGCACAAGTGTGTCATAAAATATTACAAGCCTGCATATCCATAGTGCGTTGTACCTGTTCAAAAAACTGACCTTTATACAAGATTCTCAAGGATTCATCTTATAGCACCTGCTTGAGTGTGCAACACCAAACAAACTGAACACAAACAATCAAGAACTCAGAAGGCACCATTGTACTGGGGGGGGGGGGGGGGGGGGGGGCTTTAAAATCACTGAAGTCATTGGCAGATGCACTGAACAAAACAGAAATATATATACAGTGTATGAGAATAAAAAAAACGAGTACAACTAGCGAAGACAGGCTTGTTGATTTGATGAAAATTCCTTTAAGCATTGTTTATTAACAGGCCCATTGTTAAAGAAAGACACACTTGTGCCAGGCTGAAATGGGCATTGTAGTCCTATGGAGATGGCGGGACAATCAGATACAGGAGCAGAGGAGTGCAAAGATGGACCAAGCACCATCACGGCCCGACAGCATGTCGGGTTTGCAATAATTCCGAGAACAGGGCAAAGGAGGCAGGCACAATGTTTAATCTCCATTTAGTTAGACAATGTTCAAGGATTTACTCAGAAGGTGAGAAAACGAGCCTTGTTTATTTAAAATCAGCATTATCTTCGTGAACAAAATTATGTTGTGTCCAAAAGAGAACCTATCACATTGAAACCTGCAGTTTCCTTGTAAAGCTTGTGCGTGTCATCACATAAAAATGCTGCAACTCTTTGCCCTCCAGGAAACACAAGTTCCTCTTCAAGGACAGTCTCATTTGTGCCAACTTAATACTGCAGCATGATACAAATAACTTCAGAATAGAGGTTCCCATATATTGAAGGCATGAGAACTTTCACATTTTCCAAGTTGAAACAGCCTTATCCAAAGTTATAACAAAAGTACTATTCACTATAATCACTATATAATCCTTGCAGTTGATAGAGCCTGATCACATCGTTGAGACATCTCATAGGATGTTACTGTTCTAGAAACTAAACTACTCTTAAACATTGAAATTGCTTAAAAGTGCGCTTCCCACGATTTAGAGCAATGTTTATGGACAAATGTTTTTCCTCAACAGCTCCAATTTCACATGACAGCTAGTTTTCAGTGTCTAAAGAACTAATTCAAAATAGTTCAACACTTAGAATGAACAATTTCCAAAAGGGTGGGTGCTTTAATTTAATGGCAAAGAACATTAACAGTTGTGCACTTTTCCTTCAATACATTATCAGTGTATTAAGATAAATTGGCTTTCGTCTTTTGAATCAAGGTAACGAAAAATAGAAAAACTGTTTACACACCACTTCATAATTTTTCTACAAAAGCTGTGCTTTTCCTTGATTCCCTAGACAGATAGTCACTTATTGGATACTGAATGGTATAAGCGGGTGCAGTGAAAACTAACATATATCTATCTCACATACAGGATTTGAATTTCAAATAAATACTTGGTAGGTACAACAGGCCAGGAGTTTGCCAGTTCTCAAACCCAGCTCTCTGGCTTCTCGCCATATCCCATCTTAGTGCAAATATTTTGCCCACAAAATCCATCAGTCAATTCACTTTGAGTACATATCTCGATGACCTAAGGCGCAATATCAAATGCAATTACTATTAACAACCCATCTAGTTGCTTCTTAAATCATTTACTGCAGTTATCTTCCCTGAAGCTACTCCAAAGTCTTACCTCTTGTGTTAAAAACATTTTTGACTATAGTCCCCTTCTACTTCTTAAACTTGTATGCATAATGTACAACAAATACCTAGAACATAATGCTCTCTTTAGAAAATGGATAAAAATGCTTCCCAGAGCAGAGTTATAATTACAATTAACTTGTTTACTATGTCTATAATCATTCTATTTTCCAAGTGACCTGTTTAAATGACTCAAGTTAAATATAATAATGCGGGCTACGTTAGAAGAAAATATCATTGTATTTTGGTTTGTGGCGCAACCACTTCCTGTACCAAGGTAAACCTTGTTTCTTGTTGGGACGTGGTATTATAATACAAGGGCTTACACAATTACATAATGTTATTATTTTTAGGTTAAAATGCATACTTAATTTTGTTCATAACTCTAAGGAGCTGCAAAACCTGTTTAGTAAAACATCCAACACCAATTTTAAGCCATGAATAAAAACAAGCAGTAGCAGTTAAAATGACGTCTTATTATGTTATTGAGACATCTCAAAGCGCTTCACAGAAAATAGTGTAAAGTGGATTGACTGTCTATTTTGTGGGCAAAATGTGGCAGCCAGTTTGCACACAAGATCCTATAAATAGCCTTGGAGTGAATGACCAAATTGGGGGTTTGTTGGCCAGGACACTGGGAGAAACTCCCTACTCTTTTCAAATAGTGCCATGGGATCTTTACCATCCATCCAAACAGGCAGACGGAACCTCATCTCATCCAAAGGATGTCACCTTGGACAATGCAACATCCCCCCAGCACTGCATTGGAGTACTGGAGGCATTTTGACTATTTTAGACTATGTGATGCCAAGTCCCGGCATGGGGCTTGAACCCTCAAACTTCTGACTGAGAGGCAAGAGTGCTACCACTGAGCCAGACTGACACACAATGCTGCTACTGTACAACTTTTTTTTAAACAAAAAACTTTAAAAATTCAGGATTTTTTCAGCCATTCTCCACATAGCAGACAATAAAAGTTGTGGAGGGCAGGGCTTATGTAGGTACTTTTAAAAGGGTGGGAGTAGCGGCAGCTATTTCCCAGATGCTCATACACTGAAGCCCCCTTGCATGTTCAGCATACCAATACTGTTAAATTGGTTGTCCTCTAGGCCAAGTCAAGAATGAAGCAGAACTGTAGAATTCAAAGCATTCAGTGCACAAAATGTTAAATTCAGCAGAATTGCCATGTGAATGCAATGCTCCTCCTGCTTCACTGAACTAGGCACAAGCCAGTCACTTTTTTAAAAAAAAGCTAGGCTTAATTGAAAATCTCAATTTTAAAAAAATAAGAAAGCAATTATAAAAGTAATGCGGATATTTTACTATATTAGTCACACTACATTCCGTGTTAGTTCAATGCTCCCAAATCTTTCCTCAGGTCAATAATGAAAGACTTGAATTAAGAATTTTAACATCAAGACATTTAAAAAAATCAAATGGGTAGTAATTTTCATTGTAATAAGAGTATTTAAAGTTTAAATTTTTACATTAGAATTCTTTTCACTAAAAATACCCGGGTTACATCATTTTTATCTTAAATCAAGTTTCACTGTATTACCAGACAAATAGTTTTCGATTTCTGATCGCTTTGGTATCTAATCCCATCACACCGGTTTACCTGCATTCCTATCATGTCTTTGCAAATAGTTCAGTTTGCAAAGTCATGGTTACGAAACTGAGTTTATATGGACCCCAAAAGGCCAGATTTCTGGGTCTGTGTTGAATTAGTGCATCTTATCGAGACAGAGGGAAACCTAGTAGCACACAATTGGCTAATAAGAGCTAAATCAGCCTGACTCCTGATAACTGTCTGGTGACACCTGCTGGGAGGTGTGTACAGGCTTGGATATCAGGTGCTTGAACCTGCTGACACTTACGTGAAAAATATCCAATTGGACAAACTGCACCCCAGCACAAGTTAGTATGTTCAGGCAAGGGCGAGGAGGAGAGATATATAAAGAATTATAACCCTACTGTTGATAAGAGACTGTGCCACATGAACAAACAACAACAACAACATGTAGCCCTGTTTGACAAGTCCACCGGATCACAAAAATTGATGTTTTTCCTCACTTTTTTTAAAAAAAAAATCAGGCAACTGAACTAGACTGTGGCTGGGGAGTCCACAAATCATCCTTCTGTCTCGCATTGCGGTAACAAAGTTTAGAAACGATCCCACGGTCCCTTCGCCTCGCTTCCTCCCTCGCCTCCTTCAAGGCCGGTCGGTCGGTCTCAAGACCCTTCTCTTCGACCGTGCCTCGGGTCTCCCACCCACCTCCCTGCCTTCCCTCACCGCCCCTCCCTCACCCCCGCCGGTCGGGCCCCCGACCTCTGACTGTTCAGCGCTTTGGGGCATCCTCCCGACGCGAAAGGTGCTCCATAAATGTAATTTTGTCGTCGCCGCCGTCAACCTGGGGGCACGGTTGTATTTAGGTATGACAAGATAAAACTGTACATCTCCCCCCCCCCCCACCCCATCCCATCCCATCCCCAATCACTTTAGTCTGGAGAGAAGTGCAAAGGGAATTGAAGTTGAGAGTTTGCCACACAAGCGGTTTGGTGATTTACTGAATTTTAAGAGATATATTTTACATATAGATATATATGAGAGAGAGAGGGGGGGAGAGAGAGAGAGAGAGAGAGAGAGAGAAACTCAGATGAAGAGAGACATTTCAGATTTTTTTTGAAAAAAAAACAAAAACAATATATACGTTATGTATAGAGAGAGGGAGGGAGAGAGTTAGAGAGAGAGAGAGAGAGAGGGGGACAATAACGAAGCCGAGCTCAGGGAGGTTCCCCCAAACTCTCACTAAACTGTTAAAAGTCCACGGCCCCAGTGCCAGCGGCCGGTCGGTCCCCCTCCGGAGAGGCGTTTCCCGGTCCCGCTTCCAAGAGGTGGTGGGGAGAGGGGGAAGGAGAGAAAAGAGAGAGAGAGAGAGAGAGGGAGAGAGACCCACCGCCATCACTCGGCAACCGGGGACGGGGGGAGAGAGAGAGGGAGGGGGGGAAATAAAGAGAAGGCGAGAGAAAAAGAGGGCGAGGAGGGGGGAAAGGCAGCCACGGCCGTCGAGGCTTCATTTCACCTCCGTGCGCCGTGGGCCCGACTGCAGGCCTCGGCCTGGCCGCCGGCGGACACCCCGCTCTCCCCCCCTCCTCCCCCCTCACACACAACACAACAACAACTGGGCCTATAAACACACACACACACACACACATATATATAATTACATAACACACACACACACACATCTATATATATATACACACACATACACGACGACAAAGGTTGATTTACCTTCGCGGCCTCGTCCTTCTCCATCCCCGTCGCCCTGTTTGTTGCGGTGGTGGTTATTATTAGTAGTAGTAGGTATTTATTTCGTAGAGAGTGAGAGAGAGAGAGAGAGAGAAGATGAGGAGGAGGAGGAGGAGGGGGAAGAAAGAGAAGAAAGGGGGGGGGGGGGAGAAAAAAAAAAAGGCTGTCAAGTCACGGGAAGACTGGGTGAGGAGAGAGAGAGAGGGAAGGAGGGAAGGAAGGGAAAGAGAGAAGGAGGGAGGGAGGGAGGGATGAAGAGAGAAGGAGGCTGTCAGAGAGGGAGTGCGGGCTTCATGTCGGCCGCTCACTCGCCTCTCGCTGCCCCCGCGCTCTGACTCTCGGACGCTCGAGCTCCGCTGCCGCGTCTCTATGGAGGGGGGGTGGGGCGGGGGGGGGTCAGGCCCCGCCCCCTCCCTCCCACCCTCCCTCCCTCCCTCAGCGCTACGTTGGGCGGGTTCACGCCCAACCGGGCGGGTTTTTCTCTCCCCCCCCCCCGTTGGGCGTGATGATAAGAACACACACCGCCCGATACTAATTCGAACCGATTGAAACGGGATGGTTATTGCTGGACATGCGACCCGCTGGGGTGGGGTGGGGTGGGCCGGGCCGGGCCGGGCGGGTGGGGGCGGGCGGGCGGGGGGTGGGGGGCTGCAGTCTGACACGGGCCGCCTTGACCCCGCCGTCGAGACGTCTGGAAAGGGGCTCCGCGGGACGTGCCGTAAAGCGAACCGACTTGTGTGTTTTGTGGGCGAGACGCGGCAGCCAATTGGGGGGATGGGAGGGGAGGGGAGGGGGAGGGCGGAGGGGAGGGGGGGGCGGAGGGGGGATAAAAGGCTTTGGGCGGGCGCCTTCATTTTTAATTTCGTAGAATCGGCCGCTCGCTTCCACGGCTGTTTGCGGGGCTTTGCCGCGCGTTAATTGGCTGCGGCGTTTCGCCCGCAAGACACGCGGTCAGGACCGCTTTACGGCGCGTCCCACGGAGCGCTTTTGAGACCACGTCGACGGCCCGACGGGGCGCTCTATCAAACGCCAAGGATTATTTTTTTTTTAATCATCGCGCACGTTTGTCGCGCGTGCACGTGTGATTGTGGGTACGTTCCATCTCCACGCCCACCTTTCACACGGGACCACAAAGTCCACCAGGCCCCAGTTTGTACGCGGATTCATTTCTGAGCCAACTGGAATACTTTGCCCTGAACAATCTCTCCAAGAACATAGTGTGCCACACACCCTCCCACATAATAAACATAATCGTTGCATTCCCAGCTCGTGTGTTTATTTTTTTTTAAAAAAATGCTGCCTTGGCATTACAGTTCGCAGGTCTTGAAATTCCAGTTCAAATAGAAGGAATTCTGGAATACCTTGAGGGTTGGTGTCGTGTGGAATTTAACTGTTTATAATCCAGGGGCTGATTCCGCTGAAACTAAGCAGGCTTGCAGATTGCAATCTGTGTAGCCCCAATTTTCTGCATTGTAGGCTGCTTATCACAGAGAATAATCATTGCAATTCGACTATATGCCTTATCACATCGTCAAAAAGTTTCAAAGTGTTTTGCAGGATTCGCTGTAGAGTGTAACGACTGTTGCAGGTGAACAAACACAGATATAGGGGACAATCAGACAGGATTCTTGATTTTGATTTCCATTCAGTGCTTCCTGCTGGAAGGATGTGTGGATATCAGGTGAATGCAGTTTTGAAGATACCTCTCATCCCTCTCAATCAATCATCAAGGAATTTGCAGCCATATCACCACCAGTTGCCATCCATGATCCATTCCTGATATAGAGTATGGCCTGTATAGGATTTGTATTTGACCTTTCAAAAGGTGGATGCCTGAGAGACAAGCCAGAGATTGATGAACAAATAGCTTCCCATGAGCGATTTGTGTGTTCAGTTTATTCATGGCTTTCTTTGGGACCCAGTATGACCCAATTGTAATTTCACCCTCAAATTGTACATGTCAAAACGTAGAATTTACTTCACGACAGTAGCCTTGATCCAAGTAGAGCAACGTGAAATACAATAGATGCATTTGTTCTGAGCATTCATATTAAACTGAAGCAGTTGGTGCTATTGTTTGAGTGTAGTGGACACAACAGGCTTTGTAACAAAGCAGGGCACCCACCCAACTGTTAACAACAGAAGCATTTACAGAGCAAGTGGTACCACAACAATAGAATCAATGTTTTTCACATATTCAGAAGGGGTTCCTGATCTGACTACAAGATGAGTATTTCTTCTAATCTAACAGTCTCCTGCAGTAAGAGATAGAAAAAGTAGCTGCATTACATGTGCAAAAGTGCCATAATCCAATTTGAATCAGCACTGTTAGGTTAATGGGACACACAATTAGTAAAGGTGGCTAGACCATAATATTAATGAGCATTTGTACAGTTTGTCTGAAAAATGATCTGCAAATATGCATGTTGAGTAAACATTTTACACATGTACAATGCATTCATGAGTGCATTCATGCTAACAGCTTCATATTTCCCCCTGTTGGCAGATCAGTGGGTTCTGGAGAAGCAAATTAAGCAGTGGGTGGAAAAGTGGAAACGGCAGCAGAGGAGTTGGACTATGGAATGCATTGGCTGGAAAGGCGAGCTTGGGGTCACAAAGATGGATCTTGTGGTTGACGTCCAGAGGTGAGATTGCATTTCCAATAAAAAGCCTTTTCCCATTCTCTGTTCTGGAACGTGCTAGAAGAACTGCAATGCAAACGTAGTTTTTCTCTCAGTGACTGAGATTTCAAATGATATTGGTGGATACTTTGAGATCTGTTAGTGCAGTGTTTACTAAATAACAATCCAGATAGATAAGGCAAGTAATCAGCAATGTAAAACATGCTCAGCCCTTGCTAGAAGGAAAGCATTCCAACAGGTAACATTTTGTCAACAATTACTTGCATTTATACAACATATGTAGGATAGCATCTCACAGCCCTGTTCACGGAATAAGAAATAAGAAAACAGGATAATACTGTTTAAAGGACATTTTGATTGGAAGACAGTTTACACCTGAGCTATAATCACCTGTTTGCATGGTCAGGTACACAAGACTAGGATTATTAAAACAAATTCTACTGTTATTCGGTCACAAATCAAATGCATACTCTACTTGTGGAACATAAGGAGCAAACATTAACCATACATTTTCAAAGGGACATTGGCTAACCATGTGCCACCAACAAAAGGGGAAATCACAAACAACAGAGGGACCTTTACTCTGCCTACTGCCATGCTTGACTTTGAAGATAACAAATATTGGCACTGGATATCAAAAGCACACAGTTGTGACTGTAATAAATCAACACTTGTTTGTATGGTTAGATATGCAATGATTTACGTTGTATTCAAATTTAGTGTATTGAGAAAATTCAAATGCTTTAAATTATAAATCTGCAATTCTATATCATGGTTCTTTGTATGGCACGTTTCTGCCTCTTGAAATTGTAGTGCTGTATTTCATATACAAACTTAGAATTAGTTGCTTGTTTTGCTGGATGCACATAAAACCAACACCGTGAGTATTCACAAGTTATGAATTTGTATCAGACTGATGTAGAAATAAATGGTTAAATCCAGATTGGAAAGCAGAAATAACTTTCAGTGCCACGGCTGCTGCTCAAATAAAGGTTCCTTTATTGTGCCTTCCATAACTGTTAAAGAGGACAGAATGTAATTATACAGCACTGGTTACAAAATGAATAAACCCACTCAGTAACATTGTATTCCAATGTACTTCACTCAGTATAATTATTTAATTCTTCTTTTAGCATAGTTCAATGCCATGTTTATAGTAGTTACTCAAATATGTTGTGCTTCAAATTTTTTTTTGCCTAAAATTCTTTCTAAAACCCATCTTCAGCCTAAACTGTCATACCATAAACACATTGAATGGAAACAGTGGTTCTGAAACACATTTTTTGGTGGCCTCATTAATAATCCTTGCATTTGATATAGCGCTTTTCACGTCTTCTGGACGTCTCAAAAGCGCTTCACAGAATATGCTGTAAAGTGAATTGACTATATTTGTGGGAGAAACGCGGCAGCCAATTGCGCACAGCAGCGTCCCACAAATAGTCATGGATTGAAAATGACCAATTTATTATGGTTTTGGAGGGATTATTATTAGACATGTGGAGTAAGGAAACTTGCCCAAGGTTTCGCCCTCTGCCTGGAATTAAACCCAGGTATCTCGCTTGCAAGGCGAGTGCTCTAACCACTGAGCTACAGGACTCCACAGGACTTATTGTGGTCACCAACACTTACTAGTAGCTCTGGCCACAGTGCTAATTTTTCCTAAAATAAAGGAAATCTAGACATATGCACATGTCAAATTTTTTTTTGTTTGTTTTGATACATTTGACAAACCACATTTGAGAAAACCCTTTGTAAGAGGTTGGCCAGCGAAACCACGAGACAGGCTTCAATCCTGTACTACATCCTTCCTTACCGTCAGTTCTATCTGTTTGCATGACTAGAATTGTATTATGTTAAAGCTGGTCAATAGCAGTGGTGCGGGAGGACTGCTGTGACTGCACAAAATCACACGGGTGACCGCATAGAGCCAGTGGCCGCATTTGAGAAACGCTGAACAAGGAGAAAAATAACTGACTCACAATTGTGGTTAATTCACACCGGTTAATGAACACATCTTAAAAGTCACATTCTTAAAGCAGGAAGCTATGTTATATTAAAATTAAACATTTCCCCAACTTTCCTTTTGTTGTCTTTAAACAAGGCAAGAGGGGATTTGTACAATGTGCTGTGGTCAATCTTATATTTCGTATTTGTTTGTTATTGTGGATGGAAGCTGCTAAGGATTATATCCAACTAACAGGCATTTTCCCCATTTGTAATGAGGTAATGAACTGAGACAGCTAGTTCCCCTTAGTGAGCGATGGAAATTTACAGACCGACTGGACCCAAGTGTATTCTTGTCTACCTTATATTGTTCAGTGTTGAAAAGTCGCACACATCAAGAAGGTAATTGGTTCAATTGCTGGTATATTGAATGTTAGCTAATCTCAAGTCAGCCTTGCAGTTGGGGCATTACAACTAACCCCAGCACACTTGGGCTGGGGGAGGGGAAATAAAAGCAGTCAAGGTATAGATTGTTGTCCATTGAACACTGCCGGAAGTCTGTGGATGCAGAGGTTTGTGAGAGCAGGAACTAGTCTTTGTTGTTATGCCTACACAGCCAAAGAACCAGTCAAAACTAACCATTTAAGGAAGGAAGAGAGGGAAGTAGGTCAAGGTAGTGAAGGGCATCCAGAAACTGTGCAGTTATACCCAAAATGAGCAGCTGAATTGTCTTCAGTGTTTTATCACATCAAAAGGTCTCAAAAGCACTTTCCAGAGTTTTTCTGTAAAGTGGAGTGGCTGTTTATTTGGAGCTGAAATGGGGCAACCTAATCTCCATTCACACTTGGGATCTTCCTTTACTTTATTCCTGATTTCCTTGGTTACCCTTAATTCAGTTTTCTCCTACCAAAAACATCTTACTAGCCATAAGCTGATAACCATTATCTGATGCCCCATCACGATTTTATGTTCCGTTATTTCTCTTCTTGCTATCAAGTCATCCTTTGCCAGTAACCAGGAATAGGGAAATGTGAAATATTTTATCCCTTGACTGCTCGTTTTGTCTTCTCCAGTCAATGAAGGTTGGTTCAGCTGGTCTTAGCCAGGGGCCCTTGGTTAATGGAAGAAATCCAAAAGCATCCAGGGTTCTCATTTCTGATTGTTATAAAGGCAAGGCCTGCTGGAAAGTGAGTAGACGTTGGCTGAGGATGTGCCCTTACGATAATTTTTTTGATATTTCTAAAACTCCAGTAAGAGCATAATGATGCAACAAAACAGTGGTTAGGTGCATATTTGCATTCCAAAATACTTTGGGCATACATTAATATTTCAAATCAAACAATATCAATGAAAGGCACTAAACAATAAAAGGTTTAAGAAAATATCAGCCTTGTGTACAGCTACTATACACCCTCCAGTAAGCATGTTTTTCTATTAATAATTCTTTGAAAAAGCAGACATACTCTCCTTAAAGTTATTGACATGTAACACTGGGGTTTTGGAGTGAATAGATGACACTACAGCTCTTCCAGGAGAATAAAACTGGCAATAGGATACCTTCATCATTTGTTCTTTCTAATGCAACTGCTTCGATTCATTACAAACAAGTTGAAGGAAAGTGTTGAGAGGACTTGTGAAGCACTTATGCAATGCTATTTAAGCTGCAAGAGCCAAATTATGAGCCAGAAAATTGGAACCACATATCTAATCTTCCACCTGGGATTCCAGGAATAAAGCTCAAGGGTAACAGACCTGAACATCTACATCAAAACTTGCTCAGACGCAAGTATATTGAGATGAAGCACTTTTCTTCAATTAATGAATGACTAAGAAACACCAGACGACCAACCTCCAGGTGAGATCTTTCTTGAAATGGACATTGATCACCTCTGTTCGAAAGCTCCAGCCTTTTTGATTTTTAGCACCTGAAAAAAATGATAAAACTTGCAAAGACAACAGCAGCATCTATACAAGAGAAAATACCATGTAAAACTTCCCCAACTCAAGTTTAGGCATTTTTCAGACATAAACATACAATTGATAAAATATATCAATACGTTTTCATGTAGTGAACCAGGAGGGCAAGAAAAAAAAGACCAAATACAATAGGAAAGACTGTTAGGTGTTTACAACCTAAGCATTTTAACGACTGAATTCCAGTGTAGGTCAGGTTTGAGTTGTCTGCTTTGCCCATGGAACAGTATGTGAAGTATCCTACACCTCCAAGTGCTTGCATGAGTGTGATCTAAGAATATATGTACGTTATGTCATTATAAAACAGTTCTACAAGATAAGTGTCGATCAAGAATAACCTATTTAGGCCATCAAGCCTTTCTTAGATGGGTACAATTTGCCCAAACATAGACAAAACATTTACAAATATTGATGATCCTCGAAAGGTTATTATTGCAGATCTCAAAGTTGAAGTGAAAAATGTCTCAGCAATGGGCAGTAGAAAACAATGATTAATGAGAAAGCTCCAATTGGAGTAGAGACCAACGTCTCTGCTGAGGTTTATTATTCATGCTTGATTTTCACACTGTGAATTATGGAGAGCACTTGCAATGATAAAATAGGTTCCAGTTTTAGGTCATTGCACTATGAACTGAACATTACTCCAGTTTTGGATAAATCAATGGCGAAGCTATATTTGGAATATTGTGTAGTTTGGGGCATCCTAATCTGGAGAGGATAGCATTTGAGAGGACTCAGAGATGCAGAAGAGATTACAAACAAACATGGAGATTACCATAATGCAATTCTTCATTTTTTTGATGTTCGTAACCACAGAGTGGCCTACTCCATATGTCCAATATGTATTCAGCTAGTTTAAAAAAAAGGACTTGGTAGAAGAACACATTAATACAAAGGTCTTGCAACTGGATTCAAACATATTGTTTTGGGGAAGTTTCAGTCACTTGCCAATTGTTTAGGGATCACTATGACACTGATAATGTGTGCTAACAAAATATCTAATTCAATATACCAGCTCAGGTCCGAAACACTGATTGTCCAGTGCCTTAGGACGTCCTCCTGACATAAAAGGCGCTATACAAATGTAATTTTGTTGTTGTCATTGAGTAGAAATAATAATGCAAAAGCAAATATTCAAAGAGAACAAAAGCATTAAAAAGTGATGTTGCTAACAAGACTCTGCACAGACAACGTTTAGCAAAAGCATGCTGCAAAATCAAATACAAGCACGAGCGCAGCAATCTACTTGTGAAATGCTTTGACAGTTGAATTTTATTCCAGATCAGTGCTCCTAAAACCCTCATAGAAAATTGCATTTTCAAGTATTTTCCCAAAAGTACAGAATAAAACTTTCTTTAGAACTTTACTATATAATTACCATCGCACATATTGGACTTCCTGCCTAATGACTGGAAAAGGAACATTAATTAAATCACACAAATAAGATCTTTATGACCAGCAGCATACTTGCTGCTCAGTACAATTCAACCAGTCAAAACATTGCTTATTAAAAAAAAACTGAATTACTGTCAAAGCATGCGATGGAAATAGCAAAATGTTTAGGGGGAAAAAAAAGGTTAAAACAAGCAGTCCAAGTGAAGGATGACCATAACATTTTATACTCGCAAATTAGATGGACAACCATGGAATAAAAAGACGAATGCAAGATTAATACTTTTTGCTTAATGGTATCCTTCTGTAGTGATAAGTTACCAACAAAGACAATAATTTTTTTCTGGGAAACATGGAAGAACTGTAGATCAAGCCACTGAATTCAGGGACAACTTGTTAAATACTGGAAGTTCTTGGTACTTAAAAGTTTTTTTTCTCTGGTTTATTTACAGTAATAACACAGGTTTAAAACTTAACCATTCAAAGTTATGTTCAAAATCCAAGTGCTGCCCTTCTGCCTACTTTAAACATGCAGCACTCTCAAGAACAATCAGTTAACTAGCTTCTGAAAGCTAAGCACAGGTTAAAGTTGCACTGTGATGAGGCACGCAGCACCCATGTAATATGTCCAGTCTTTACACTAGTATGGTTAGAACTGAAAGCATTTAACTTGATAATTCATATTGTGTGCTAGACTAGATAATAGAATACTATCTTGAAAACATATCAAGTGTGTAAACTTTATAGAATTTACTCGAGAAACTAATCTGAATTATTTTACAGCATCTGCAGCAGCCCTACATACTCATTAGAACCCAAGAGATGGAACATATGCATGCTCTTCAAATGTAGGGTTGAGAAAGAACAATGGAAACACTCCAAAATTACAGCATTTACAATTTCTGAGCTGTATGGTTTTATTTTGCTGCTTCCAACCTAAAGCGGCAGTGTGTCACATTATGGAGATTTGGGGCTAAACTTTTTACTACACTGCAGGTACAGAGGACTCATGGGGCACATAATTTGGAAGGTAACAGAGACACTTTGCAGAATAATGCAAACATGCCAATTCTCACATGAAAGAATGTATTTCCAAAAAAAAGTACACATTTCAAATTATTGCAGGTTTTTAACAATTCTGTGAGAGGTTGTCTACTGCTAAAATATTTAGACGTCACCAACGTGAGGAGTCTTGTGTTTTTAAATCTTGACAAAAAACAGCTCTCTGGCATTTATTTGCCCTTATGGTGGAGGGCAGGGTGTCAGTACATCGCAAATCCTGTAGCATTTTGGTTTTTCTTCTGATTAAAGCCATTTCTTGGGACAAATGCAGCAGCAAAACATGAACCAGCTGATCAAAAGCACTTCTCTGCCATAGCTCGGGTAGTTTTCAGGACACACCAACGAACAGTAGTTCAGCCATTCTCAGTTTTTAAGGTTTACATCACTGCATCTCTTCCTTAAGTACTATTGCAGGAGCTGAACTCAATCAAGCCAATTTGCTGACAACTGCTTGATTGAGAGTATTAAGCTGATTGGTCCATTTATCTAAAGCAGTATATCGAGCACCGCCTCTTTTCTGATGATCCAGTTCAAGCAGTTGGTTGACTTGATCGATACGGCCGTGAATAGTGCTGGAATAAAACACATAAGTTCTTCATGTACTTTGTTGTACACATATTCTTAATATACTCTGCATTGGAAATTCCAACATTACTGAAACACAATAGAGTCCCTGGTTTAAGACAGTTCATTATAACACTTTTTTTTTACAAGGCGAGTGACCTGTGGATCCACAGCTGGCTTTGGAGTGCGAAAGTCACTTTATACATGTGCGCCACAAATGAGGAAGAGGTGACCAGGCATTGGACACTGTTCCTAGGGTGGGTTGGGCTGTTTTGGCCACAACTATTGCCTTTTAATAAACTGAAGAACTTTGAAGTTCATATGTTCACTAAAAATATGCACTTTCAAGGCAAGAATTCAAGTCGAAAACAAAAATTGCCTAAACATAGTTTTAATCAACTTGAAAATCTTGCAACTAGTACATATATTTAAAATCTACTTGAAACACTTTTCTATGGCAAGGCACTTTAAAAATGCAAGTATCTTTTTAACGGGTGGATTATAGCAATGAAAATGAAAACTATATTCCAAACCAATAACACAGGAAAAGCAGAACAAAAATAAATCTCTAACAGCACTTACTTGTCCAATATGCACTGTACCAGTAAACTCTCTACATCAGCTACATCTATGTTCAACTCCTGAGGGGAAGGATAAATACAAGAGAGAAAAAAGTGGTTACAGACAATGATTTTTCAACGTTGAAACATTTTGGATTGTTCAATAATTAAATCCAAATTTTGGATCAGAAAATCTCCAATTATTAAGCTTTTGGGTTCTGCGGCTGAATTCCAAACACCAATACTGCCTAATGTACTATTCTAAGTTTTAACAAATATAATAATCTGAAAGGGGGAAGGAAACAATTGGTTAAATGTTGACATTTAAATGAACTTACCTTAGAAATAAATGGTATATGTATCCTAGTGTAAGGCTTTATTAATTTTATCAGGACTTGTGTTCTGATGTTCCTCAAAAGCTCTGTGGAAATAATAATTCTGTTATTAATGGAATAATGATTTTTGCATTTTGCAAACAGTTGCTACAATGGGGGGGATGAGTTTCAATTCTATTGAGCAATACATCCATATTCTACCCATCAAGATTCAGTGTAATAAATTAAAAGTTTATTGGTTCATTGTGCAAAACGCCATCTCTACTATTTTCCTTTAACTACTCTGCATTAATACAGACATCTGATCATGTCAACATATCATCTGATGCAAAGGTCATGCAAATGCAGGGCAAGCAGACTAAAATAGAACTTTGAATACATTTTGTTTCTTCCAGAGCAATTTAGATTCTAGTAAATTTTAGAAAGCACTGAGCATTGAAACTCTTGAATGAATACAAGATTAAGGAACCAACAAGCTTAATCATTCATAACTGATGTTATGTTCAAATTGGCTGACATATTTGCCTTCAAAATGCAATCACTACGATTTCCAGTAAAGCTTGTGAAATGCTTCGAGATGTTTAGATGACATAAGACAGACACTACATTACTACTGCAGTGAACATATTTCACATTAACACTGGAGGATATTTAAGTTAGATTTTTAGAGACGTGCATTTCAACACAGCACCTAATAAGAGTCATACCTTCTATGTGTTCCCTTATGAAGGGATCGTCCATGATGTTACTGTGATTGGTTTTCAAGATCTTCTCAAACTCAGTGATGTCGTTATTCTGATAGGCACTGAGAAAATATCACAGTCTCATGAGTACTTTTTAACTTAAGTCTTTGGACTTTCGCATTATTTTCTTTCCTCTGGGTCCCCAATAACATTGGCAGCTAAGAAAGGCCAGACTTGCTCTCAGATGGTTTGTCCTTCCCTCTAAGAGGAGAAAGGATCTCTGAAATATGGTAAGTCTCTATATAAATGACTTGGATGAAGGAATAGAGTTTTATATCCAAATTTGCAGATGACACAAAGTTAGGGGGCACAGTAATTTGTGTAGATGGGAGCAGGAAGTTACAAATACTGATTAAACTTTACAGAAACTTTGTGAAGTGCGTTAAGATGCTCAAAAATAGATACTATATCAAATGCAAGGATTATTATTATAGATGCAGTTTCAAGGCATCATTGTCCAATCTTAATTAATTCCCATTGTGTTGAGCAAGTTCTGATGGAATTTGATTAATGCAGTGATTTCACCCACAAAATACACAGTCACCGCGTACACTTTTCAGTATATTATATGAAGCGCTTTGAGACATCTCAAAGACGTGATAAGGGACTATATCAAATGCAAGCATTATTATTATTTTGTAAAATTAAAATTTTCAATTGAATTTTCCATATTTCAACAGAAATATTTGTGTTTTAACTGATGAAAAGAAAACATTTTAAAAGCATTCCTTTAATAAACGCTAACCTTTTCTAAAACATTCTGAAAAGTAGATAAGAAACAGAAATCTAATTTTTAGTAGACAGCTTACCTTACTAAATTTGTCATTGCAAGAATCTCTGGATCATTTTTGTATGGTTTGGCCTAAAACAGAATAGAACTAAAAGGTTTAATTTGTTGAAAAAAACCCACTAAAATCCATAAAAAAAGTTGAATTAAAGTGTTACTTCACTGCAACATTACCTCTTGAGAGTCAAAGGGGTTAATTCCTGACTTCATCAGCATGTTAGCTAGTACCAAATATTTCAGGCAAGTGGTGCGTCGGGGGCTCCCTGATTCGTCATAGTTCTTGAACGCCTCGAAGAAATCTGTATGTGCCTTTTCAAACTCTCCTTCTCTTAAGTGCATCTTACCTCCACATTCTGTAACATAATTACAATTAAAAAAAGACCACCATCATGAGTATAAAAATACAAGCTGCTTATTTTGAGCTGCTGCTCAAAATCCATGCATCACTAACAATCCCCGACTATTGCTACCTGGATTTTTCCCTATATTCCCTATACCCATATGAAATTCAAACACAAGTGCCACAAATGTGAAACGCACCTCACAGTGCACACAGTGGCATTTAATGCTCGATAAAAGTTAAAACAAAGGCCTCAAAATAATAGGAAGCACATATACAACAACAACATTTCATTTATAGAGCGCCTTTCACGTTGGGAGGACGTCCCAAGGCGCTGGACAGTTGGGTCAGGACCCGAGCAGGGGGGAAATGGTCAGGGTGAGGGAAGGGAGGGAGCGAGGAGGGGGTAGAGAGTCGAGAGGGGAGCTGAAGGCATTCCATAAACCGCATAGTAGTTGCCAATAGAGTTGAAAGAGATGCAAGAGAGTTAATTGACTTTCCTACTCATTATTTCTAAACAACAATTATGTTTTGTGCACAAAATATACAGTCAATTCACTTTACAATATATTCTGTGAAGCTCTTTGCAACGTCTTGAGGATGTAATAAGGTGCTACATCAAATGCAAGGATTATCATTACTACAGATAGATAGCACCTTTCACATCAGAAGGACCCAGTTTGAGCTAGCAATAAGGCAAATAGAACACTCGCTTACTACATTGCCAAATCAGTTGAGTACAGATGCTCCAAAGTTGAGTTTATTTAAAAAAATATATTCCAGATAAAATTAGAAAAATGGTCCAAGAATCCGATTTGTAATATATACTTGTAAATCAAAACAGTCAAAGAGCTATCCCATTTAATTTTCATTGTTGTTACTTACCTCTGATGACACCCATAATAAGTGGATGAGGGATGGCTGATTTGATGTGCAAGGACTGCTCATATAGTGCTTTTAATTTCTTGTTGTTCTTCTGTGCAGTGTACATCTGGATCTCCAGAGCATAAATTTCCAACAACTGGGTCCCCTTTTTCAAGTCATCCTCACCATCATCAGTCTAGAAAATGACCAGAACAGTCTTGCACATCATAGTGTAGTTTATGCATGAAATATAGGCAAAGATCAAAACAATTATGCAAGTTAAAGAAACAAAATAACACAACAGACTGCCCCTCTTAAAATACTTGAGATTACATGCAACTAATGCACATAGAAGAAACGACACTTGAAAGAATATATATTAGCCAATTAAGAGCAAATCGTGCATGTGAATTCTAGCCCTATGGCAGTGAAATACTTCAAAGTAACACTGTGTGAAACACTTTGAGATGGATAGACGTGATAAGGCGTGTATTAAATGCAAATATTATTTATTATACTTGATGGTGGCTTCTTTCAAAATTCCGAAACACACAAGCAAAAATCAAATTTAGTAATACTTTTCATGGAGACGAGCATTTAAAAGCAGTTAATTTGATGTCAAATAAAAGTAGCTGCATACAAAAAATAGTGCAATTTTGACAAACGTGTATTTTAAGTTAAAACTCTCTTGAAACCAGTTAACAGCCTCTCCTCTCAGCTAAACAACAATGAATGGTTCTAGTTTAAAAAGTAGGATAAGAAACTCCCAAAAGGATTCGATATCTCTAACCCGACACTCAATCCAGATCACCCGTTTCTTTCAAAAAGATTTTATTCCCAGATAGTTAAATAAAATCAGAATATGGTACCTGACACGACTGATGTAATTGGCGTAATATCTTCTGTAGTTTCCCAAACTCTTCTCTCTCCAAATACAGTTTGCCAAGCTGAAAATAAAAATGCCACTCAGTATTTGCTGTTATGTTACCACTTCTAAGATATCAAGTGAAGAAAAGAATTTGAGCCAACAGCAAACTTTAGTTACACTGGAAAACGAGAGTTACCTTTGTGTTTGTCTTGAACCATAATCGGTCATTCTTTGCGTCTTTTAGAGCCTCAAGAGTGGTCTCATAAAATTCCTGTAATAAATCCATCTGAAAAAGAAAATACATACAAATAGAACTGCACTCCTCCATGTTGTTTGTACTGTAAAAACAAAGTATGTGGCCCAGTCCTTTAATTAAAATGAGACCAATTTGAAAGGTGGAACTGGATCACAATGTAGTGTCGAGGTCTCTACTTGTTTACACTGACCATTTGTTTACAGTGGATCTATAAAGCTGGTAGTCAATAAGAACATAATAGTAGATTCAGAAAGGATATTCTTTCGAACAAACCTATTTAATATTGTGCATTTGTGTTGCAGATAGTTCTGAGTTGCTCATTTTCTCAGACTCTTGATCCCCAAATCACCCAAAATCATCTAGCCCAATGTGATCTTATTTCCATTTATAGATTCCAGCAATAGAAACTTGATCAGTCGCATTCTTAATATTTGAAACTTAAACATTCAGTGATCACTGCATCCGCGTACGTTACACCTTATTCTACACGTTAGAAACATCTTACCTAAGGGATGCCAAGACTATTTTAATTGGTTTTTTAATTTTCTGAACATCACTTCTTGCCCTATATATTGTTAATTAAGTTTAAAAGGCGAATTAACTTCTATTTTATACACTCTGCTCAAAGGGAGAGCAATATGTTCCATATTAAACAATAATTCAGATATTCAGACATTTTATACATCTTGCTAATGTTGCATTATAAAAGGTCTCCTGCTAGAGGCAGAAAAGAAGTATTGCAGCACTTCAATACTTATCTATTCCCAGAGTTTTCCCCCAAATCAAATACTTTTCATCATCCTGATTAATCACTCATTTGATGCGTTCTGCTTTTCTGTTGAAAGTAAACCCCGAAGACCTTAACCTCTCCTTTCTCCCTTGTATCATCTTCTATAAGTACAGCACAGAACAACAGGAAGGCACGTTGAATCACTAGCAACTCCTCATGACTGCATAAATCTCAGCGACTACGGGCAATTTTCAACCTTACTATTTTCACAATTTCAAGATAGCTGTGCTACACACTCCAGCAAATGAAATGTTGCATTGAGATTCAAATAGTTCTGATTTGCTTAATTCCTCCCCACCACCCCCCTCCCCAAACAGTATAGCAGTCGACCAGTTATCAGCTTCTGATCTGACATTACTCTGCCTCCTGGCAATATGCAAGTCTTTTTCTGACCTTTGTTTCAGCTTCCCCGCCAAAGCAAGGTTTCAGGTCCGTTTCTGCGATTCCCCCGCTGCTACCCTGCCTCTTCGACTTCTGCTGCTTGACCAGCGAAGATGTAGCAGGTTCCATAGGATAAGTAAGGGAAAAAGCAAAATGGGGGAGGGGGAAAAAAAAGGAGGAAAAGGAAAGGAGATAGAAGTGAAAATGTGAGGACAGGGAGATGCAGAAATAAGAAGAAAAGGCAACGCAATTAAAAAAAGTTTAACAAAAGGCAGGATAAGAAAAAGATAAACGCCGCAAATAAATGTGAAAAGATAAAATAAATAGAAAAACAAAACCACAATGTTGAAAGAGAAATAAGACTGGGAAAAAGCATATTAAAGTCTTCTAAATTCCATTCCTTCTTCAATCTCCCCATCACTATTGTTTTGGAGAACATTCCAAAACTTTTGATTTGTGATGGAGAATTGCTCAGAGAAGTATTTTGTGTGTGTTGGGGTGGGATGCGGGGGGTGGGGGAGGGGGTGGGGAGGAGAGCAAGACATTCAAGATAAGGTACGGTGGAGTGTATGGGGCATTGAAAAAATAATCCATGTATTATCGGGAAGCGACTATTTTGTACTCTTGGCTCAGTTTTAAAAAAATTTGTAGAGGGAGAGTGTGCATGTATTGGGGTGGGGGGAAGAAAAAGATAGAAAGATAAAGGTGGATCCCATACAAATGTGAGTTGGCGTGGTATCAGTGTTCAAATACTCTCAAATTATTATTCATTCACTTAACTTAGAAAATATTCAAGCACTAAGTTTTCAAAAGGGGAAAAACTAACTTTTTTTCATAAACCATTCATAGATCTTGTTATAATGTAGAAGTTTATAGTGTAAATTAATTTTGAATAACTTCACGGGGCACTCAATAGTTACTTATTATTCGTAAAACAGCACCCTAATGGCAAGGTTTTCTAATTTGGCTAAGTTTTAAGAATTGAGGAAAGTCCACAGTGGAACGTTTTAATACATGACAGATCAAGACAGATCCAAATATTAACTTGTTTGATGAGTCGTGCATTATTCTGGGACACAACTTCCGTTGAACCAAATATGCACTGCAAAACCCACGCTTTCTGACAAAATTCTAAAAATTAGCTCGTTAAAGGAAATCAATTTTCTTTTCCTCCTTCAAATGAATGCATATAGAAATTGATAAAACCCCTGGCTCTACTTGGTTACAGGAATAAACTTGGCTCCTTTAGCTGTGTGATTATACTGCATCGCATGTAAAGCAACCTTCTGATTCATCTCCCTTTGTAAAAAAATTAATGTACAAGTCTAAATCCAGTCTCCAATGCCTTGAACTTAGCAGGTCACTGCACTTGTACACTCCCTATTAAGTCATACACCCATCTTGCCAAAAAAATTTAAAGGCTGGCTTGCAAATACTCGGAATTTGATCAAGCATGTACTATTTTGAAACCTATTAATACTACTTTGTAAATTATTTTGCATGCATTTAATCCCACTAAACTGTGCTTGCAGCCTAAGGGCAAGTCTCTTCAGATCACATCGAGAGTTTAATGATCTCACCCACCCACATGACAAATTAACAAAACGTAAGAACTTGGGTTAAATCCCCTCATCTTAGTAGATGTGAAAGTCCTAGATCTTATCCACAAGCATTCCCACCAGCTCCTTCTGCGCGGCTTGAATAATGCCTAGTTACATGCCTAGTTGATGAGTCCATTTCTACCAACACTCGCAGGCCAAGGATTACCACAGTAAGCCATTTACAAATTGACTGCCAGCCTCAAAGACCCAATGTAAACAGACAATGGGCACAATTATGAATACTTCAATTTAAATTCCAAACAAAAATGGGCCAACATTCCTTTAAGAAAATACCACGATTGCTGATTTCACAAAAATATTGGTACCATAGTACAGTTGAAAAGGCCATGAGAATTTCAACATCCAAAAACCAAAACAAACTAAATCAGCTTTAAAAACTCATACCTGTTTAGATGTAGATATGTAGTCAAGGATGGAGTTGATGGATTTTTCTGAATAATTCCTAGTGACTGCACTCCGGATGTAGGTTAGTAGTTGTTTATACCTGTTCATCATTTCTGGATAGTTACCCTGTCAGATAAATTTGGAATACAGCATTTTCCATTTGTTGCATGAAATCTTTCAAGCATGGGGAATGCACACATCAAATTGTCTTAACATTTCAGCTTGCACAATAAAGTCGATAATTAAAGTACTTTTAAATGTAGTGGTATAACATCAGCACAGCACTTCATTGCTCTTTGTGGCACATTGCTGTGCGCAAACTACTCAGCATGTTTTTCTGCAAGATACACAGTAATTCCTGTGAAGTGCTTCGAGATGCCCTCCTGACATGAAAGGCGCTGTATCAAATGTAAGGATCCAGAATAATGAATGTGCTTACCAGTTTAAAGTTGATTTTTATCATCTGTTTGAGTGCTTTGAATCCCCATTCTCCCTTTTCACCTTCAAGCTCCAAAACCTGCATGAAAAAAAGTTTAAAATATTTTGATGATATTGTTACAAAGTAAAAGCACCAGTAAGAGGGCAATTTAAGTAAGCTGAGGTATTTTGATGTACAAAAGACCTAAAAAGTTGAACATACAGCAACTGTCTTTCACCATAGTTAGATTATAAATATCTTGCATCTAAATATACTAAAATTTGATTGTCGTTTCCATTGAGGCACTATAATATGGTCTGAATGCCAAAAGTAACCACAATTATCACCGGTAAAAGATGAACATTACAATTTAGCTTTTCTGAAACTGGAACAATTTAGGTGCAATTTGAAGAGGCACATTTTTGGAAAGCTGCTCCCAGCTGTTAGGTATGAAATTGAAAGGGGAATTATTTTTAGTTCTTGTTCATTCAGGTCCAAACAAATTAACTGTGCAGTGTATAATTTACTGTAATAAAGCTCTCTACCAATTGTGCAGCACTTCAAACACATCCTCAGCTACAAAATTACTTCTACATGGTAAACTAGGCGTACAATTATATCATATCAACCAGTTACAGCAAAACACAATCACTATTCATGACTCAAGTACGGCATCTCATTGATGGAGATGGATCCAATATGCATTTAAAAACAGGACTACTGATATATGCCCATTCCACCCCGAAACATACAAGCTAGCTGTTTACAGCTACTCGTAATAAACTTGCTAAACCACGTAGATTTGAATCTCATTCTGTGCTCAGTTAGCCAATCTCAGTAGGATAACAGTTGGGGCTATGATTGGTCTCAGTTCAAGTCTGTACATCACATCAGCCAGGCTTTCTGCTTCTGTGTTCTATCCACATGGTCAGACAGATTGCCAACATTTTTCATTTGTGAGCATAGCCAGTAAATGTATCAGTTGGTCGAGGTACCAGAGGGTATTGGAACTATACCCCAGCAAAGACAGCTAAACTCCCACATATTTAGATTATTAGTGCCTGCAAAACATAATCAGTCTCTTTCAATAGGTACTTCAAAAGCCAACTCCACTTCTCGTGGATCATAAAATAAATTCCAGAGGATAAAAATATAGACAGACCTTTTGGAAGCTGCTAAGTGCTGCTTTGGGATCATCCTCCTTCAATGCTTTGGAATTATAGTATTGATTTTCCAAATCCACATTTGGCTCAGAGTTGCTATCTTCAGAATATTCCTGTAGATTAAAATAAAGAATGGTTGAAGTGATACGACATAGTAGACCAACGAGACTCACCAGACGTTTACAAATATATATGAAGTATAATTATCAGCTCCATATTATACCTCATGAGACCACTATTTGAGCTAGCATCACAATCAGATACTGCATTAAAGTATAATATAGTAAGCCCCATGTGTATGTGTAGACTCTCACTTACGGGTTTCAAACAATTACAATGCCGATATTAACATTTTTGAATAAAAAAAAGCTTGCAAATGCCAGTACCATTTTGTAATTACACTTAACCGAAAATTCTGGCTCGCCAGAACGGATCCCACCCCCCACTCCCCAATTGGTCCAGCCTGCCACAGTGTTAGTGTAGTGATAAACAGTGGTTATGCACCAACATGTACAAACCTAATATCTGAAATACCTCCGCCACAACCACATATTGTTATCAAATTTGAATGCAGCAACATTTCCCACTTGAGCCAATGTAATTTGGGTTTAGAGTATTTACTTAGCATCCACCAATAAGCTACACCAGCACATTGTGGTACTTTATTGTGACAGTGCAGATTCTGCTGCCAAACTCAAACTGCTATTCATAAACATCACGAGGTGATCACATTTCAAAGTGCGGGCTCAGATAATAATTTATAAATGAATAGTAAATATAGCACATACAATTTAAGAATACAGATCAGTTCCATTAGTTAACTATGAAAACAGAATTTCCTGGATTATGTTGTGGAGAAACCCAGTTGTAAGGCTTGAGACGTCTCAATGATGTCAAATGCAAGGATTATTATTATGTAACTATGTAAAAACTATGTATCATTTGCTGCCTGAGAATTACTGAACCCTTTCAAAGCAGGCCTCCAAAATGTTTAATGAGCAATTCAGTGTTCAATTCACTTAAGTGTTAAGATAACAACACATCTCAAAAACAGTCGGTAGTTTCTCCCAGTGTCATGGCCAACAATCTCCCAGACAAAATTGGTCATTCCCTTCAGTTCGTGGAACGTTGCCGAAAATAAATGAGCTGCCACGTCTGCCTACAAAGACAGTCACTATACTTTGCTGTAAAAATCCTGTGAAGCACTTTGAGGTGTTGCGACAACGCGACAAGGTGCTACATCCAATGCAAGGATTTTTTTTTTTACATTTCAGATCTTTAACTTCTGGTTTTCACAAAGCACACTTTCATTTTAGACAGAAGAATTATTTTGCCGGAGCAAGAACACTGACAAGTGAAACCTCATAGGGTAACATACACAAATCCCCCCCACCCCTACCCACCCACCCACATAAATACATCTACCACGTAAAGCCACAACATGGAGATTAGTGCTGAAGTACCATTTCCTTATATAAGCACCATAATGGGAGTTTCACTTTACTCTTAATCATTAATGCACGCCAGTGGCTGGTCATTGCTTGGGCTGTTGATACACGAGCTGCAGTTGAGACGACGCATTCCTTTTTTAATTTACGAATTCCGAAACCCCGATGCAGCTCTCTCACACGAGACACGTTTGGGGGGAGAGGGGGGTTGGTTGTTGTTTTTTTTTGGGGGGGGGGGTGAAAAAAAAAGGGACCCGGGGAAGCCGCACAGCTGATTAAAACCTAGTTTGGGGGCGAAAGCTTCTGGACACCGGCGCCGTATGCAGCGCACCATATGTCATGAATTGCTGGATTCTCAGGAGGAGGGGGAGGAGGGTCGGTCACGGGCCCGACCTGCTTCGGCCTGACCAGGTGGAACTAGGCCCGCACTCCAGACGGTGCAAAGGGGGGGGGGTGGCGCGGGATTTCAGGCCGAGGACGCAAGAGGGTGAGTGGGTGGAGAGGAGAGGAAAAGCTTCTGCGTTTTCAAAATAAATACAACGCACGGTGTGAGGCAGCGCGGGTGCAGGGCGTTGCGGGGGCGCCGAGCTCCAGCCGCTTGCCCTGAAGCAAGAGGCGGCGGCGGCGGGAGAAGAAGAAGAAGAAGAGCCCCTCTCTCAAGAGTGGCGGTGGCGGTGGTGTGGGCGCACGGCCTCGTTACCACAGTAACCCGAGGGCCCAACCCAGGCCTCCGCGGAAGTGGGACCACAACTATCGAGCCCCCCGCTCCCTCGCCTACCAAGTCATAGTCTTCTTCATCGTCGCACATGAAGTCATCCTCCATGTCAGACATCTTGGAAGTAGTAGTTTTTGTGTGTGTGTGTGTGTATGTGTGTGCGCGTCCCCCACAATCCCGCGCGGTTTGGGTTGGGGGAGCGGGACCCTTGTCGGTGTGGCACACGCGCGGCTTTGAAGCCAAGCGGGTGGTTGGTTGGTTGGTTGGTTGCTGTTACGAAAGGGGAAGTGAGCGAGACGGAAATGAGCGAGCGAACCGGGTGTGGGAGGGAGGGGGGGGGGAAGGTATAGGGTGTGACACCCGCTCACCAGCCGGAAGCCGGAGCCAGCGGCCGGTGGGAGGAGCCGCTCGCGCCCAGTTTTTTTTAAAAAAATTTGAACGGCTCGTAAGCAACTGTCACCGGGAGAGGGGTGGGGGAGGGGAGGGGGCAGCGGGCGGTTGTTGGTTTGAAACGCGATGGCGGCAGCAGGTTTGAGCGCAGCGGGACGGTTATTTTTGTTCTCCCTCTCTCTCCATCCCCCCCTCCCCCCCCCCCCCCCCTCCTCCCTAAAGAACATGGTCAGCCATCGGGTTCAGGTGGACATAAGAAGTTCGCTGGGAAGACCAAGGCCCGTCTTGTCTCTCCTTCCACCATTCCCCCCCCCCCCGGCAGCGGCTTGACATGTCTTGTCCATCCTCCCCCCGGACTGACTGTACACCGAGGACCGTCCTTCGGAGCGGAGCGTGCGGTCTCCTCCTTAATAATAATAATAATAATAATAATAACGTAGGACGACGACAACAGCGATGGCAGCAACAATCTTGGCATTTGATGCGGCGCCTGATCACGTCGTTGAGACGTCTCCGAAGCTCCGCGCGGCGCCGATCGGATCGCCAGCGCGTCCTGTTGGGGGCGAAGCTCCATCCTTCTCGGCAATGCCCTTCCTACCGTAACGTTGAGCTGTGTTCATTCCCCCCCCTCCCCCCCCCCCCCCCACCCCACCCCTTCGCCTCCCCCTCCACCGTTCCCCCCCAATCTGAGTCCACGGTTTCCTGAGGGGGCGGAAAAATAAATAAAACTTTTGACGGCGTGAAGATGTTCTTGTGTGAAGCGCTTTGGGACGTCCTCCCGACGTGAAAAGCGCTATATCAAATGCAAGGATTATTATTATTATTATTATTATTATTCGAATACGTTCGAATGTAGGTGTGACCCTGGTCATTCGGGGGTACCGCCTGCGTGTTGGTATTCCTTTCCTGTTCGGCGGTGCGCGTTATCTTTTGTTACGTATTAAAATTTGAAATGAAAGGTTGCAAAGTGTTTTGATCTCTTTCCCCGACCCCCCCCGCCCCCTCCCCAAACACATGGGACTATTGGCACCTATTGATTTTCGCCTATGATTCTGCAAGTGTTGGTTAGGAGGAGGAAGCAGTTTTCGTAAACAAATCGTTTTTCTCTCTCGACAGCCTCTCATTTCCAGTTTTTAGCACCGGCCTTCGCTGGAATCTCAGTTTTTTTTAAAAAAAAGGGTTTGTGGGTTTAGGCAAAAGAAACGTGTGGGAATATTGGCCAAAAGTTGCCGGGAAATTTGACAAATTCTGCGGAAAAATTGCAGGGAGTTGATCGGTGCCATCCAGGTACATTTTACAAGCTACGTTTTTTTCACCGGTTTCATCGGTTTTATAAACAAAACAATAATAAGTTGGTCATTTTCAATCTCGACTGTTTGGGGGACGCCGCTGTGTGCAATTGTCCGCCGCATTTCGCCCACAAATATACGGTCAATTCGCTCCGTAGTATATTCCGTGAAGCTCTTTGAGACCTCTAGAAGACGTGAAAAGCGCTATATCGAATGCAAGGATTACTATTGTTTATAAACTTAAAACAAAAGGGAGGAACAACGAATCGTATTTGAAAACTGAACGTGGCGTAACAGTTTTTAAGTCCAATTTACTTTTTTTTCGCGGGGGGGGGTGAAAATAACAGGATAGATGAACTCAAAACAAAACAGTTTCAAAATTAGAACGGTACAAATAAATGAAACCAGTTGTTCAGAGTCACTTCCTGGAGCCCACGGTCTTCACTGTCAGAGACCCGACTCACACAGAGGCGGAGAGAGAGAGAGAGAGATAGAGAGAGAGGAGAGAGAAGCGCAGCTGTTGCTTCTGCCTCTCGGTTCCGGCAGTGACTCGGCTTCAGGTACCGGGTTGACAGGATATCCGCGACGGGGCGGGACCGAGAGGGCTTCTCCCGGTCTCTCTCTCTCTCTCTCTCTCTGTGGTCACAGTCACTCACAGGCTGGAAAGCGAGACCCAGACGCCGGCGAAGGAGAAGCCATGGCCAGCGAGGCCCCGCCGCACGAGGCCGTGCAGACGGCGGAGACTCCGAGGTAGTCAACCACCGGTGGACCTTCGGTGTAGTTTGTGCAGAGGCTGAGTGGCGGCTTTGGGGCCACGTTACACCGGGGACTCCCGACCGAGCAGCGAGTCGTTTTGTATCATAAATAACGTGAGAGATTGGGAGGTCAGGTTAGCGGCCCCTCCCCCTCAATGTAACACTGGGGACCGTATTATTATTATTATTATTATTATTATTATTATTTATTATAACAAAGAATAAAGCTGCCGCTCAACGCTGTGCTATTTGCAAATGAAACCCATCCCAGAACTGGTTCCATAGGGATGAAGTTCAGGGCAGATGTTTTTGCTGCTGTCGCTGCGCACAGGAGAAGCGTTTTTATTCTGGTGTTTAAACTGCAGCGCATTGCATTCCTGCGACAATCTCCTGGTTTGTGGCCCTTTAAATGCACAGAGAGAAGGGGATTCACAGCTGCGATGAGATGTACTGCGCAAACTTCCTACAGTTTAGACGAGAGTGCGTGACATTCAGTTTGGCTTCGCTTTTTTGATGGTGTTGACTGCAGTCTTTGTGTCACGAGAAATTGAACCTCTCGTCATGTAAACACGCGTGATGTGTTGTCACCAGGACCACCCCACCCTCCCAACAGTCTGTCAACACTCCCTGTCCAGAATCAACACCTGGAGGATAGCCACAAGGACCAGGTTATTCCAGGGCACCACCACCACCACCACCACAAACATAAATGACATGTGTATAGGTTTCAGGGCAGGAGGACAACCCAAGGCGCTGGAGAGTCAGGGATGTGGTCCCGAGCTGGGGGCTGGGATCAGGAGGGGTGGAGGTCAGGAGGGGTAGGAGGATCTTGAAGGAGGCGAGGGAGGGAGGGAGGGAGCGAGGGAGCGAGGCGAAGGGACTGTGGGATGGAGTTACAAACGGTGAGGGCAGAGGCTGAAGGTCCGACTGCCTGTGATGGGGCGGGCGGGCCGGGCCGGGCTGGGCCGGGCCGGGGGACGTGGAGCAGGTCAGAATCTGCCGAGCGGAGGGAGCGGACGTTTGGATGGAGTTAGCAGGTCAAGAGGTAAGGAGGAGCAGGGCGGGAGGGCTTTGAAGGCAAGGAGGAGGATTTTGACCCCAATCCTCCGGGGGATGGGGAGCCAGTGGAGATGGGCGAGGATGGGGCTGAGAGGGTCACGGAACACCACCCAAAATAAGCTATCAGCATTTGACACTGGCGAATTTCTTTTTTTTTAAAAAAAACCTGAAAACGAGCAATTCAACGGGGTAATTTTATTTATTTTTCTTAGGGGACGCAATTTTTATGAGCGCTTTGTTTTGTTTCTTTAGGCTTATGAAACTAAAGGCAGCATTTATAACTAAATATGGTGCGCCGCCTTCATTTTACATACGGGCCCCTGGACGAGTCAATTTAATTGGTACGTTGAGCTTATTTCCTATAAGCACATTGCTTTAGTTGCTAACGTTCAACTGGAATGGGTTATTTTCAGCCATTTTTACTCGTTTTGTAACGAAATCGTTGCAATTGCATGGCAATGTACTGTTTTAGTATTTTTTTTCCTGCTGATAAATTCCTGCCTTAGGGAATAATTGTGACATTCTGCAGTTCTATGTTAATGTGTTTATATGATATTTATTTTATTTAGTGACATTTGAGAGCGATTACTGGATTTCCACAAAAGTATTTACTCATAATAACATGAATAATTAATAATGTATAATATCTTTATCAATAATAGCAGCAGTTAAAAGCTTCTTTCAAATATTGCATTTGCTATAGTACCTTATCACATCAAGACACTTTTGAAGATTTTCACAAAACCAGTTACTTTTCTGGATGATGACTGTGGTTAACACGGCAGCTAAAATACTCCAGTACCAACGGTACCAAGTAGGAATCTGCTTGTTAGTCAATTGGTGCATCACTCTCCGGACACAATAATCTCTCCAAAATCACTATCCACGACTGTTTGTGGAACACTGCCGTTCACAATTGACTGCTGAATTTCGCCCACAAAATACATAGTCTCAACGACGTGATAAGACGCTATATCAAATGCAAGGATTATTATTATAATACCAACTCACATGCAGTAATTGTACAAATGACCAATTTAAAAACTCGCTTCTCTTTTTCAATACAGTGCCATGGAATCTAATAACATTATGCCCCGAACAGGCAAATGTTATTGAGTGCAATAGTTATGTGAGTGAGACGTAATTAAGAAGGGCTGTGATGGGTCCCAGTGCTTTGAGACGTCTCGAAGACGTGATAAAGCGCTATATCAAATGCAAGGATTATTATTATTATTGAATACTCTCCAGACACTCGCATCCTGGACTTGCTTTAGAGTCCTTCTGTTCTTTGTGGAACTGAACCACTGTGTTCGTTTGCTGCCTTGGGGAGGAGGAGGGAAGCAAGGAATAAGGACGGAGTCATGCAAGTGGAAGAAAGCAAGAGAAATTATTTTCTGCAACCTTATTTGTAAAGAAAATAAGCCTTGACTAATATTTATTCAGTCCCTTAAGTCCAATAAACATCAGAAAAGTTACAACATTTATAGAAAGACATCCGATCAGAGTCTCCTCCAATTAAGATCAGCTCTTATTGTCTGCCTTCAACTAATGAGATGTGGGCAGGAAGGAATCACTGAGCCTGACTTTGTAGGTGAACTGAATTCATAACAGAAGTGATGTAAACGTTAATCTAGTAGAACGCCTTCTTAATCTGTGTGCATTAGTTCAGATTCTTTACAGTCATTATGCCACACCTCCTGGATAAGCACGTCTAAGGATTCCTGAAGCAAAGAGAGGCTACTGCTTTGTCGCTGTCCGTGTATATTCATGCAGATAAAAATAATAACATGCCAGGAACACAATAACAATATGAAACAAATCAGACACAATAGAGCTTTTACTGTGCTTGTCAAGGTTGTCAGAAGTAGATTTCTGTTTAAAGAGCTTTCCTGATGTCTAATTTCCTCAACTGCTATGTTCTTGAACCATTTCCACTTAGAAAACTCCTAGGCCTGTACTGTTTTGACAAATCTCAGTCAGTGGTGTTGGAAAACAATGGGGTCTATAATTGGCTTCATGCAGCTGGAGAGGCGAAGAATCACCCAAGGTTCTCATTCTTGATCTCCATCCATTGACACTTCATGGAAGTGCTCAAGTATGATGTTCAGTAAGTGTGCGGTGCTTCACTTCATTGAATAGTCCAATGAGACTTGATATCTAGACTTGTCAGAGAAGACTGAATGAGATTCTTGTGGGGACAGTCCTTATGGGAATTAAACCCCCGCATAAGTCAGAAGGAAGAGAGGTGGGGAAAATGACCTCATAATGCAATTTACTAACCATGTCAGTCAGCCTCTCAAGGTGTTACATACAGTTGTACATGTTCTATATCGTTTCCTTAAATTTTAGAGACTGTGTATATATATAATATTTGAAATGCAGTTATGTATGAAAATTACTCATTTAAATCTTTTACAGGTGAGCATATTGATTACTGTGGATATGCTGTTCTTCCAATGGCTTTAGAGCAAGATATCTTGGCAGCTGTTTCACCAACGCAAACAGAAATTATCCGGCTGGCAAACACTAACCCTGTGTACCTGTAAGCAATTTAATTTGATACGGGAGCAAAAGAGAGGCAGCAACACGCCTGCCCTGCGTACATTATATTATCTAATGGTTCATCGTATTTACCGAAAGAACCTTCAAATTTAGATTTTTGTAAAGCTGTATTAAACGTTTTAAAACTCTGCTTATATATATTTAAAAATCTTGCGGAATAGTGGATTCACTGGAGTTGAAGATCAAGGGTTGAATGTTTTTTTTAACTATGTTGTGCATTCCACATCTAAGTCATCCACTGGAAGAGGTGCCAAGATGAGAATCCACAGGGAGTGAGGGAAAATTGGAGGCAAACCATTTTGGGCCGCTGTTGTCCAAAGGCTAGTAGAGAAACATTTGCAGATGTCTGGAAGAGGCCACCTCGACTGCGACCAACTTGACTGAAAAACAATGTTTTGTATGTAAAAGCCTGAAGAGGAAAATACAAATTTAGCTTTCTGTTACCCTCCCCACCCCGCTCACAATAATAGAACTATGGTCATCCCTTTTATCATTGTTAGAGTTTTGTGGATAGGGTGCTTTAAATCTAACTTTCCACCCTACTTCCTCTTCTTCTGAAAAGGCTGACTTTCTGGGCCACGATTTGTTGGCTACCCTCAAGTACCTCTCTGAAGTAACACTACCTCCTTCAAGTAACCATTGTTCACTTGTGAAACTTGGTGGTGAGTGCCAGCAGGCTAACACGATGTGCAGAGCGTCACAGACAAGCGCAAGACTTGACGGACGCACTCTCCAGGAAGGATCACAGGGTATTGATCAGGAATGGGAAGGAACCACTTTTTGAATGGGAACTCCAGTGTGATCTGCAGTAGGGGGACTAGATTTGAATTTAACCTAGTGATTCCGCTCATGGTAAGTGTCTGTAATTCAGTAATGGGAAGGGTGCTGAGCAAAGGCAGATAATTCAAACATAGAGAAATTTTTAAACTGGAACAGCTAATAGGTCTCGTAAGGCTCATGAGCTTTATAGCAGACAGTTGCACAAAGGGATTGGCTGAGACCTGAAATAATACCTTATTAAGCAATGTCAGTCAGGACATGGGTATGCTGTAGAGGGAGACTTCGGCAAAATAAAGGGAGAAAATAACAATTTAGAAAATTTATTATAGTGGGATATAGAGATTTTGTGTTTTAAAGATAACTTGGAGAAAAAAAATCTCATGTTTAAAAATGTACTGGGATTCTTAGTTTTGTTATAGTTTGAAGAAAACATGACTTGAGACGTTTTCATCTTAAAATTAAAAAATCTGGGCTTTGAAGAAGATTGGCATGAAAAAATACATTAAAAAATTAAATGTTACCACGAGAGTGTCAAAAAAAATCACACAGTACACCATTTTTTTATAAGATCGAAAAGCAAAGTAATTGACAGTAAAATTATTGACATTTCTCGTTAACACCCACTCCTGCCTTCCACAGATATCAGGGATGTATTTGAAAGCTTTCAAATTGTGTTCTGCATTATTAATTTTACTGTTAAGTTGCTTCGTAGCATTGAACAGAAGTCTCTTGGCTGACTGTTAATTTTGGTCTATTGGTGACCTTTACTTTGCTGCTGAACAGCAGATGGCACCAGTTAGCTATTTTCTGGAAGTCAGTCAAACACTGTTCTTTATTTTTACAGGGATTATAATGTTCATATAAAAAAGATCCATATTGACAGAACAAACCCTCAGTGGCATTACTACTTTCTTTGTGGATTTAAAGGAATCCAGGTAAGATAACCAGCGATTATTCTTGTCATTTGGATTTTAAAATAAGTTTATTTTATGAGTCCCCAATTTCTGAGAAAAATTATCCCATCACGTTAATAGGACATCTCAAAGCGCTTCCCTCCTAATCTCCCTATTAGATCCACTGTAGCTGTCATATTTATACCCTGACTAGGAGCCTGCACTGGGTGGGTGGGGTGGAGGAGGATGTGTGTGTATGGGTAGGGGGGATGGATACTAGAACTCACCAGCAGAATGTGTTGCTTTAAAATGCTGGAAATATTCCTGCAGTGATCCACCAATATATACTTTAAATTTTATTTTTCATTGGTGTGAATTATCAAGACCTCCACTGCAAGGCTAAGTTCTCACTTGATAAGGCTAATGCCCAGCATGAAACTTAAGCCGTAGAGACCATGAACTCTGGAACTCTCTCCCCCAAAAGGCTGTGGATGCTGGATCCATTCACAGTTTCAAGACTGAGGTGGATGGATATTTGTTAGGACAGGGTTTTGCGGGATACGGGGAAAGCGTGGGTAATTGGACTTGAGATACAGATCAGCGATGATCTTATACAATGGCGGAACAGATTCAAAGGGATGAATGGCATACTCCTGTTTCTATGTTTCCCTGATCTGAGTGACTTGGTGTTAGCCATGGTTCTGCAATCTGGTCTCCCCGGACTGGGGTGGAGAACAGTTTAGTTCTCGATAACTGTCCAGTGACCCCTGCTGGAATATGCTTGTGCAATGTCAAAAAAAATAGGATCAGGCTCAACAATGATGCTCCCACGATCACAGCCAACACTCACTTCCAGGCTATGCTTTAAGAATAGTCACTTGGGGGTTAGTCCTGGCAGGTACTTGGCATACATGGAACTGTTTACCAGATTGAGTCAATGAGAAGAAAAAAAGTAAATGAGAAAGAAAGAAAAAAAAACAACTGCACGTAATGCTTAATTTATATTCAGGGTCTTGAAACATGTCACCATAGTGGTTGGGTTTTAAGATCGCATCATTGACAATACAACATTTTAATAAGATTTGCACAATTCTAGTGGAAAATGTATTGCATGTTATGGAAAAGTTGGGTTTAGGAAGTTTAATGGATAATCAGAACATTATCATTATCATGTTTACACATTACCTAATTTATTCTTATTGTAGCCCATTGATTGGGCACTTCTACAGTTATAGTTCCATCAGCTATTTCAGATAGTTTTATAAAGTTGTGTTTGACACCAAAAAAATGCTGCCTGGAATAAATTATTTTATATATTAAAAAAACCGTTGAAATTCAAAGAACTTAGTCCATGCAATATTTGTTACACTGAGGAGCAAACCATTTTTTCACTGATGGCAGACAATTATCTCTCTCCAGTCAGTCCAGGCAAAAATTGACATTTGTAATGGATCTTATCCTCCTACTCTTAGAAACAACAGGGTTGCTGCAATAATAAAACAGTTTCTCCAATACTTTGTGCAAGGTCACTCTTAGGCAGTTCCTCAGCCTTGCGTGAGAGTTTAGGCTTAGAAGCGTCATTTGCACTTGGTGCCAGCACTAGACCCTGAGCTGAGACTGGCAGTTCACAAGACTTCGCATGCTATAACCACATGGTGTCGAATATTAATGCACAAAGAATCATACCACAGGGCCACACAGTGCAGGCTTTTAAATTGCAATGACAAATCCCATAAGCACGTTTTAAGTGGCAACAACTGAAACAAGTAATTTAAATGACAAGTGCTAGAATGTTCTGAGTCCTTAGCCTGTTTGTATTAATTTAAGTGGCCAACTCTATTGGGATATGAATAAAACAATAGTTGGCATGTCTGACTTTTATCTGAAACTAAAGCACTTTCTGAAACATTGCGTGATAGTTTTATAAGCTAGATTCATGCAAGAGACAGGGCTGTGGATCAGCCTGTTTAGATATATTACTTAAAGCTTTTTTTTTCCTGCAAGTTTGGCTGCAGTTCTGTAAGGCAAAGCCACTGGCATCTACTTTCAGCCTATAATCTGCTTATATTGCTGGCAAAGGAATTGTAGACAAAACACAATACCAAATTTTATTGCAGAAAATGTTGCTTTCAATCAGTTTTATGCAAGTAATTTTAAACTTTGTTCTCACATTTCACTCTTTTAGTGTGGTAAAGCTTTGTAATATGGCCTTGTTCACTTTTGCGTCACATTTCACTTCCAATTTCAAAATGTTTCTCGGCAAAACTTATAATGGAAATAACACCTCTCTGACAGCCCGAAAAAGCCTCATTTTCATAAAGGAATGTGTGTGTGTGTTGGTTGGCAAAGGGCAGCAATTCTGGTCACTGGAGGCATTTCCGCATTATTATTTGTGCAACTGCACTGATCCCAAAGAATTAAGTAACCACTTCACTCCAGAGAAAAATATATTGCTCACAGTAATGTTTCCGTCCCCCAAGTGCTATTAAGAATCCAGCCAGCTTAGGTTTAAGGGGGTTAGTTCAGACAATGGCCAAATAGTTCTGTCACAAAATCTTTGCTGAGGTTAAAAAAAACTCCTAAAATACCATATTTTGCATAGGATGGCTGCATTTTAGAACAATAGTTGCACAATACGAAAGAATAGCTCCATTGCTGTTCTATTGTGTGATCCAACTGAAAGCATCAACACTGCATACTAAAATACCTCATATTGAAGGCGAAACCTAAATATTTCACTTCCTTTCTTCTCCCTCGCCCCCACTCCCCAGTTTGGGTTGTCTCAGAAAATATTAGTCTAAAATTCGGGGAAATGCTTTCTGACTTTATTTTCTTTCCTTTCCCGCCAATTTTCCTCTCCTGAAGGCATTTGATGGTTCTATGGACACCTATCGATACCTCACCAAGTGACCCATTATTCACATCTTAGACTTGACAGTGAGTGTTGGCAGGTTATTTAACCTGGCGGGTGGGCGGTGAGTGGGGGATCACAGTCAAACCTGATCCACATCCATCATGTCATAGATGGACACTGTCCGACATTGCTCTCTGGATGGTGATCAGGGAGGGAGATCCTGGCCGATTTACTCCTCACGAAAGCAGATTGCAGCACCACACCTGCTGCTCTGGCTGAGAGCAATAAGTTCAGCACACCTGAAACTTTAGTGATTCACTGTCCAAGCCCAGTGATGTTCTTATCCACTGGGACATTGTATCTGTTGAAAAGTACCAGACACAATTTGTGCACACAAACGTGATAGAATCATGGAACTGTATAGGGCAAAAGTGGCACATTGTGTCTCTGTGTCTCCTTGAAAGCACAATCCATTCTAACCCATTTACCTTCCTCCAATTTGTGTGCGATGCAATACGTCTAGTGAACTTGCTTGCATTATTTTAATGCAATACTGTAGGTCCACGTTGGAAATGGATGAATACGTAACATTCAAATCAAGCCTAATCAAGTGAAGCCATCCTCGGTGGAAACTCCATTATCCACAATAATCCACCCGAATTAATAATTGAAATTGACTGAAAATGAATTGTTGAAATCTCAATGATTCACTTTTCCGATTAATCGATTACATGGCATTTTCATTCACACGTGCAACTGAAAATTGAACTGTAGCATTCAAAATGAACAAGTTAATGTTTGAAAATTTCTTGCTCTCTTTGTCAGGAACACTTCAATCTCATCACCCCTTGTGGAATGAACTGCATGCTTGATGGCACTATCCCAGCCAGTTCAGGACTCTCCAGTTCCAGTGCAATGGTTTGCTGTGCAGGTCTCATCACTACCGTTGTCAATCAGAAGGCCCTTTCCAAGGTACTGTTACACTCATCAGATCTGCAGTCAATTTGGATTAAAGATATAGGAACCCACAATCAATCTGTGGATTACCGATCTGTAAAAAGAAACTGTATATAAAGTCTGGGTCAGTAAGATTTTTTTCTAATCATATTTGGGACAGGCCGTAAAGTTGATTGACTGTATATTTTGTGGGTAAATGTGGCAGCCAGTTGCACACAGAAATTTCCCACAAACACCAAGGGAGTCGATGACTAATTTTATTGTTATTAATAACAGTGTGGTCTATGCATTTCCTGTGAGCTTCTGTTCCCAGCAGAGTATTAAGATAGACAGGACAGTGGGGGCAATCAGTTCATCCTATGGTGCAAATAGCACAAATGACGGAGTACTTTCACTTTCCCCAAATGTGTTCAATATTAATATTTTTTAATAGCATTGTCTGATGACATTTGAAATTCTGCTACGCAATGCTTTGCAATCCTGCAGCATAATCCTAAAAAAGCACCAGTTTTCCTTTTATTTGGCTGATGTTGCTGAGGCTTTCATGAATCAGACAGAAAATGTTGGGTCTATGTGATAGCATCAGCACCTGTTTTTTTTTTGCTGTGATGTCTAATTACCCATCTGTTACTGATCCAAAGTTTTTAATATGAGCAATGATATCTTAATGCTGGAAGACAGAATAATTACTGACTACACTTGGGTGATCCAACCAGACCATCTGTCACTAATTGCTAATAATTTGGTTTGATGCACGGAGATTGGTTGGTCAGTCAGTTAGGATGCCACATCTTTTTCTGCACAATTTACTATAACTTAGTCTCAACAAAAAGACTATCTTGACTTTGAAATGCAGTGAAGTGGAGCATTTGTATTTTTTAAGTGTCCAAGTAACCTTTTCACACAGTAATGAACCAGAACCACTTTTAATGTTCATGATTATTTTATCAATTTAACACAATTTAATTTAACGAGTTTCCATGTAACAATTAAACAGTAATTCCATTTACTTTTTTTATATTATCTCTGTTTCTCAGTTTATGTCTAAAGATACCTATCAGTGGGGTTGGTAGGTTGCATATTTTTAGTATCTAAGGGGAATGCTGTATTGAAAACCAAATAATAAGATAGAAATCTGGACTACATCAAGCAATAGTTTCAAAGGCTTAGCTTCTTACACAGGCTGACTTAAATGAGTCATGTAATAAGAACAATCTGCTACAAAGAGTACACTTGAGAGAGTTAGCCATTTAATTTACATTAGTTGCTATTTTACTTCATCCCTTCAGCAACTGTTGTAACCTTCACCATTTCACAAAAGCAGATAATACATCTTGTAATTATTTTGACCTCTCTAATTTATCTTCATTATCAGTCTTGTTTAGTATCCTAATTTTCAAGGATAAAGTTACAAGACTGGTCTATCTTACCCTTGTCGCTCAATACTGTGCAGCAATCTTTTGACTATAACCTTAGGATTGAGATCAGTGTAAAATCGACCCCCTTAATCCACAGTTCCACAAGGTATGAAGTGCATCACTACTGGAACAAAATCTATCTCAATAAAATATAAGAAAACAGCAGATTTGTTTGATATTTGCATTAGATACCCAGTCATAGAGAATTCTAATTCTAATCTAATTCAGGGGGCAAAACTAACATGAATATTGGGAGCATCATTTAGTATTGGAATATTAAAAGCTTCAGCAATTTCTCACACTTATTTGAACTCCAAGCCCCCTGTGTTGTAGCTTGGTATGTTTCTAATAGGAATAGTCATTTAACAAAGAGTTTCCATGTAACCAGCAGGACAAGTTAACAAGCCTTTGCATATTAATCTGTCATTTTTATTCAGTGATTACAAAACCAGCTCAAAAGTTCTCTTTATAACTATATATGTATATATATTGATGTAGCACCTCATTGTATTATTGGAATGTCTCAAGATGGTTCACAGAAGCTTATAATAATAATCCTTGCATTTGATATAGTGCCTTATCACGTTGAGTCATGTTACAGCATTACACAGCTATAAAGTGTTGTGACTGTATATTTTGTGGACGAAACGCAGCAGCCAAATGTGCACAGCATTTATTTATTAAAGTAAATACTTTATACTTTACAGTGTGCTATTGTAGGCAAACACGACAGCTAGTGTCTCTAGTGTGAACTACCAATCTTATTTGGGAGATTGTTGGCCAAGACACTCAGAGAAAGTCCCTTCTCTTTTCAAATTGTGCCATGGGATCTTTAAACACCACCTAAACAGGCAGCTGGGACCTTGGTTTATATTGTTTTTGTTTAAAAAATGTGCAATTAATCTAAAAGACTGTCAAACTAACCGAATAAATCATAAGATATCACTTGGAAGAGAGAAAAGTTGAACTTTATTGGACACATGTAGTAAAACTAGAATATAAAAATATAATTAATAATGTACTGTAACACAATGAATGGTCTACTTACGAATAAAATGGAATTGTGTTATTACCACACTTTCACATGCAAATACCACAAGAGTTAGCAACAAGCGATTCATTCCAAAAATAAGATCGCATGCACACAGTCTGCAATATAACTGAAATTGGAAGCTAACATGTAATGGAGTCAAGTGGGGTCTTTCCATTTCACCTTGTGTAAATGTGCTGTTCGTCGACAATTTAGGTAAGGAACTTCAGAAACAACATTATCAAATTTCTACCCCTTATTGCCCTGAAGGAGCCCCTTGCTTTGGGTTCTGTCTCCCTTAGCATGAAGGGACAGGCTGCGTTTCGTGACTTCCTCACATCTGCTCTCATTTTCAGCAGACAGCTGGTGTGTTTGCAGTGAAAATTGTTATATCAACCCTTACCCTGCTCCATGGTGCTTGATTTAACATCTTGGCTGAGAATAATCGGAAATAAAACTGTATCCAGTAGAGATGAAGAAAAATGAATTCCAGCAATCTAAAGTACAAGATACTTCAAATGCATGACAGATCAATGAACAAGAAGGCTAATATTCACTCTTCATTGGATCTAGCACCGTTGAGCTGGAGAAGATGCCATCTGGGGTGCAAGAGGGAAATAGGATCAGAGCAAGGAAACAGAACGCTAGGAAGAAGTTAGAAACATTTATAACCACACACCAAAAGATCTGCCATGATCTAATGAACTGGCAGAACAGGCTTGTTGATGTCTTGTTCCTTTGTTACATACATGACGAGGCATCTAATGAGCAGTTAATATATTTCTGAAATGTTGGTTTGTGTAAGTGAGGCCAAGGTGAGTGAGACTAACAACAACTTGTATTTATATAGCGCCCTTTACACTGGACAGCGTCTCGGAGCGTTTAAGAAAGTCAGAGTTTCAACTACAACTAAATGGCCTGGGGAGAGATGGAGTTGTAAAATAAAGAGGACAGATAAGATTTGAAGATGTTAAAGTCAATTGTTCAGGGCTCCAGGCAGAAGCATGGCTGAGCTAGGCTTCCAGATATTTGTGTTGAGCTTCACTGCAGACTGAAGATAGAAGGTTAGAGTAGCAGGACAGAGATGTGATGAACCACAGGGAAAGCCACAATCACATTTGTGGTTATCAAGGATTATTAGTGAGGAGGAATCCTCAAATGGATTATTATATAGTGAGATGCTGAACAAAATAGCTTTCCAATCTGCATCTGATGTACATTTCCCTTGACCAGTTTTGAGATACCACAGAGAGAGAGGAGAGTCAGAGAGAAAGCAGGAGTTAGTGATGTGCAATACTGGCCGAGATGTTTGAATGCTTGACTTGCATTGAAAAGTTATTCATCTACAAAATATACAGTCACTACAATTTGCAGTAAATCATGTGAAGCAATTTGAGACATCCTCCTGACGTGCAAAGGCACTCGATCAAATGCAAGGATATGCAGGATTTCAGTTTGTGAAAGGGATTAATGTGTCTTTAGTTCCTACTTTCTAGTGGATAGAGGCTAACAATAAACAGGCAGACAACAGTATAGGGTCCACTACCTCACCCCTCAGGCTGCTCTTGTTCATGCCTTCATCACCTCCAGGCTCGACTATGCAAACTCCCTGCTTGCCGGCCTTCCCAACTCCTCCCTCCACAGGCTGTAGATAATCCAGAACTCTGCAGCCCGTGTTCTCTCCCGCACCAAACTCCGCGACCCCATCTCCCCCATTCTCGCCCGACTCCATTGGCTCCCTATCCTTCAGAGGATCCAGTTCAAGATCCTGGTCCTCACCTACAAAGCCCTCCATTGCCTCGCCCCACCCTATCTCTATGACCTCCTAACACCCTACCAACCCGCCCGCTCCCTCCGCTCAGCCAGCTCTGGCCTGCTCCACGTCCCCCGACCCACCCGCCCCACCATCGGCGGGAGAGGCTTCAGCCACTCTGCCCCCAACCCCTGGAATTCCATCCCCCAATCACTCCCCCTCCTTCGCCTCCTTCAAGTCCCGCCTCGACCCTCCTCTTTGACCATGCCATCGGCCACCCCCCTTCCCCTCCCCTCTCTTCCCCCCCCACCCCCCCCCCCCCCCTCTGCTGTACTGCCGCACTACCCCCCATTGGCCACATTTCTTTTTTTTTCCTTCCCTCTCTATCCTTCTATTCTGATTCCTGCACTGTTAAAGATAGATTTGGAAGGCTTCACGGGCAAATAGTTTGATGGATACAGACATAAAGACATGTAAGCTGTCAGGCATATGGAACAAGTCGCACTCTCAAACTACAGAGCAAACCATATAACACATGTAACTGGCAAACATTGTTAGCAGAATGGATTATGTCAATATAAGTCAAGTGTTACAGCCAAATAAGTTTGTTAGGCCTCTTAGTGACAATGTTTGGCCTTTATTTTTAAGCCTTTCAAGATTTGGATACCTTATCCTCATACCTGATTATTAAACTATGCTGTTGTGTTGGGCATTTCTACCTGGTAATAATTAAAAAAAGGCATCGCTAAGTCTTAAGTGAATAACCACCATTCACTTGTCAGTGTACTGTAGTGAAGAAACAAAGAAATACAAT